GCTGGGCGGGGGGACAGGTGGCTGATGCCTCCCCTCCCCGTTTGTTTTGACATTGTGATCAAAGGGATTTGGAGAGCCTGGGGGGTCTGGAGAGGAAGAGAATTGAGACGTGGCAATAAACAAACAAGGGAGACTGAATGGTCCGAGGCACATTCTCGCTTCCAGCCACAGGTATAAAAGGCCATGCCTGTCCCGCAGTGGCCTCCACACTGAGGAATCGGCACCCTCTCCCAGGCCTGCCAGGGATGGGGATGGAGGCCAGCCTGCTCCTGGGGCTCACCTGCCTCTGCTCCCCACTGACTGCTCTGGTCCTGAATGGCAACACCATCAGGGGGGCGGCTGAAGCATCTGGCTCCAGGAAGGTGAGAGCTTGGCGGGAGGGTGCCCATCTCAAGCGCTGAGGCCCAGCTTTGCGGGAGAAATCGTGGTGGCCGCTCTCGTCTATGTACCCAGCGGTCAGTCTCTCTGTGCCCGCTGAAGCGCCCCTCTACGCAAGCGCACACAGAAAGGAGGGTGGCCTCTAGCGGAGAGGCAGGCTGGCAGCCAGGGTCAGACCAAAGCTCCAGCGGCTCAGACCAGCTGCTACTGGACAATCCCCGCCTCTCCCTCTTCTCTCCCCGCTTTGGTGGGCGCCAGTGGCATGCGCCATGCTCTTGCTGGCTGATCATGCTTCACATGTGGTGCGGGTGGGTGAGAGGCTGAGAGGAAGGCGTACATACTCATGCTGCAGCTGACCAAGCAGCTTAGTGGGGCGCCCCCGCCTCCGTAGGAGGACTTCTGGCCAAGCACTGGGCCAAAGGCGGCCTGGAAGCAGAGCACCTTGCCTCTGGTGTGCCCCGGGAGGTGCCAGCCTGTCCCTGAAAGGGGCACCACACGCAGCCAGCCCCCGAGCGGCTGCGCAGGCCAAGGGAATCAGAGGGCATGCCAGACCCTGCCCGTTTTAGGGGGCCGGGAGCACTTGAGGGGCTGGTTGCCTCGGGCCACGTGGCCTCCCCAGGGCTCTCTCCTCTGTGCAGAGCACGCCGTGCTTGACGGACCGAGACTGTCCGGCCGAGGGATTCTGCCCGGAGCCCGGCGAGGAGCCGCCCTTCTGCGCCGCGTGCAGGGGGCTGCGGAAGAGGTGCCGCCGCAACGCCATGTGCTGCCCAGGGACGCTCTGCCTCAACGGTAAGCAGCTGCCGCCACCACATGGCAAGCGGACAAGGACAAGCCCGCTCGAAACCCTGGGGGGCCCCCAGGCTTGGGGGGGGTTCAGCCCCTCCCTTGCACACCTGCTCTTTCTGGGCGACTGAGGGAGGGTGCGCACGGGGGCACTGCAGTGGCTGTGACGGTGGTGGGCCTCCTGCTCCTCGGCCACGGCAAGCTGCCTCGCACCTCCCACCCCACCTGGCCTGTGGGGAGCGCGAAAGCAGTGTCCTTGGGGCGCACTTCAGGGCCGGGGCGACGCTGACTCCTTGGGTGATGAGGGCAGGGCCTCTGCATGTGGCGATGGCGCAGGTGGAAGAGTCTCCAGGCAGATCCTGAAAGCAGCCCAGGGCTTCCACTGCCATGGATGGGCACGGGGGAGAAACCGGGTCTGACCCCCAACCTTTGCAGGAGTGGCCGGCCAGCAGGGCTGCCCATGGCTGGGAGGCCGGTCCATTTCCAGAGGGGCATCCCCAGAGGGGGGTGGGGGTTCAGGGTTACTCCGTAGGAGGGTGCTGGAAAGTTTCTAGCTTGGGTTCGAGGAGCCACTCTGCATGCTCAGAGACCCTCTCTTCACTAGCTACCAGTTGCTGAACGTGCATTGGAAAAAGACAGCCTTTGCCAAAGAATGATCTGCTGCCTTGGAAGAGAGAAGGGAACTCCCGAGTAGGGGAGTGTCTTGGCTGCTATGGGAGCTAAAATCTGCAAATGGGCGGACCGGGCAGCCTGCTCGCCACTTACGCTCGGCTAGTATAAAAACAGCCCCTTCGCACTGACAGGAGATGAGCTTTTGCTGCACAGAACTGCCTGTAGGGCCCCATGGAATGGAACTTGTGCAATCCCTTCTAAATAAGTCTGCATTATTGCAAAATTCTGGAGGAGCAGAGGGCCAGGGGGTCGGTCAAGTCATGACTGGAGGGGGGCACAGAATCCAGGTGAGAACTATCTGTGCTCCAATTGATGCATGAACCGCAGATATGCAATTCATTGTCCTGTTTACATCTTTAGCAACCTGTTCAAGATATGGCTGGAAAATATGTATATTGTCATGGGGGGGGGGAGAGGAAAAATAAGCAACTCCAACTTAATCCCTCTGTAGCGTTCCAAAAGCACTGAGCTCATGCACACCCACCCACCCTTAGCCCTTCTCCATAAAATCTACGGGAAGGATCCATGCATGCGTTGGAAGGTGGATAAAAAGGCGGGCGGGAGGGCTTTCACGCGGCTGGGCTGAGCACAACAGCACCCCCAGCCAGATCTGGCATGTGGGTGACACCGCCAGGAAGGGTGTCTCTGCTGCCTGAGCGCACTGCACTTTTCTGAGTTACAGTAAGGACCAGGTGACAAGGACAAGGGCTCAATCCGGTGCAGCGACTTTGGAAAGACTGCACTCTTCTCTTCCGTGACAGACGTGTGCAGCCTGGCTGAAAAGAGCGCCTTGGCTGGAGAAAGGAGAGAGAGGGGCCAGGCTGGCCTGGGCTCCAAAGACCTGCTCCGGCACCCAGTTCCAGCAAGTCATGCCCTAAAGGAAGGAGATTCCCCCACACCACACGGCGGAGGTAAGCAGGGTGAGGACTGTGCTCTGACGGGAAGAGCGCTCAGAAAAGGGGAGGGCAGGCAGAGCTTCAGGCGCTGTTTCAGGTTGGCGCCGTCATTTGCAAAGGGGGCCCTGAACAGATCCTGTGCCCAAGCTGGGCGTGGTGGCCAAGTCCCGAGTGCAGGTGAAGGCAAGCCTCGAGCTTGGCGGCCCAGAGAAAGGAGATCCCTTGCCCCTCCCTGTCCTCGGCCCGAGTCACAGCTCCACAACTTGACTTGAACACCACCTTTCTACCAAACGTGGCCCTCAAGGCTTATACTCACTAGCAAAACCTAATAAAAACAAGGAGTAAATACATAAAATCAGCTTTAGAGCAGAGCAACAGCAAAACAGCCCCCATCCCATCTCTGTTTGATCTAAGGAAACCTGAGCCCTGCTTCTCCTTATTTCTTTCCTTCTCTTGTAATAATTTCTAAGTGCCACCTGGCCCAAGTTTTGATATTTGCTTGCTGTTTGGCTATGTAGCCAAAAACTCAAAGCATTTCCATTTAGTCTAGATTCCCACCTTTAAAATGCCTATTTAGCTCTGCAAAGTGGTTGGGAGTGAATTAATTCCTTCACGGCTTACTTAACCTTCGTTATGCCAACAATGAGCTGTGCACTGCTCTACATTCAAGCGGAGGCAGAGCAACTAGCTGGGGTTCCCCACAGAGCAGAGGCTGGGCTCTGGCCCCCCTCTGCTGCCGCTTCCTACGTCCAGTGCACTGACCCTCACTGGGTCAACCAGCTGCTGGAACGAGAGCGGGGAAACGGGGAGTCAAAGGTGCATGTTTGAACCAGGCCGGGAGCGTAAGGGGAGCGGAATTTCAACTGGCACCCAGTTCTTCTGTGGCTTCCTTAGCTTGAGCAAGGGTCCCCCATGGTGGTGGGCATGGACACAGCCCAGGGCCTGGGTGCCAGCGGGCCCCTTCCACGGGACGGGGGCCTCGGCCACTGCTGGGCTGGGCCTCCCGCCGGATGCACAGCCGCCTGCCAGCGTGTGCCGCTCTCCACAGCTCAAGAGGGAGCGTGCTGCCTCCGCACCACCGACTGCGCCACGGGGCTCTGCTGCGCCCGCCATTTCTGGGCCAAAATCTGCAAGCCCGTCCCCACAGAAGGCCAGGTGTGCTCAAGGCGTGGGCAAAAAGCCGGCGCTCGAGGGCACCAGATCTTCCAGCGGTGCGACTGCGGCCCAGGGTTGTCGTGTCAACAGCTGCTTGGCGAAGCGCCACCCCGATCCCGCCTGCAGGTCTGCTGGAGGAAAGGGGGGCTGTTTCCTGACCCCCCAAAGTTCACTGAAGTCCAAGATGCAGCGACCGTGGAGCGAAATCCACCGCCCACGCTGTGACATCGCCCTTCTGCACTCTCTGAAGTGCATGTCCTGTTGCAGGTTTGGGAACTTTTAAGCACTACTTTTTGGGACCAAGGAGGTGCTGCAGGACTGCTCCTGTCCCTTGGCTGAACTCGGCAACGCGGGCTTGGTGTCGAAAGCCCTTGTGGGGTAGCTCCTCCTGAGGACCCTGTTTGGAAACACCGCTCAGGGTCTGAGGCCCTCCTGGAGTCCCCCACTGCAGGCAGCTCATACGGAGATCCTGGAATGGTCCCAGTTTATGAAAAAGACCCACAGAGGGCAGCATCTCCCCCCCCCCCACTGTTCACTTTGAGAACAAGCATTCAAGAGTTTTATCTGCTAGTTTTAAGCTACAGTGGTTCTAGCTGCACCGTTTCAGCTGCTTCAGCATGCTCCAAGTATATTTTAATGTTTTGCTTTTTTGCTGCAAACCCCGGGTCTGCACTGCAGAGAGACAGTGGGACAAAAGCTTTACCGTAAATAAATATGGTTAGAGATACAACTTCGGAAGTCCAGGGGTTTTTTCTGACAGGTTGACCACCCCTGTCTGATCAAAGCAGGACAAATACAGGTGTTGAGAAGAGGAAAGCTCCCTTGCTGGGGGCAGGAGGGGTTCTGAGGAAGTTGTCTGCCTCCAACAGGGGCAGGAAGCGGCTGCAGACACCTGCGCTGCTCTGCTGTGCCCTGACTCCACAGCTGCGGCAACAGGGGATGCTCCGGTTCGGGGCTTCACAGCCACTTGCACAGTCCAATTCCAACACCAGCAGGCAACCCCCTGCACCGCGGGTGGCCTGCACAGCATCCACGCACCCTGCCGGAAGAGCCTGAAGGCATGCAGGGCGGCAGGTCTTGCCAGGCCTTGCTTGGATTAGTGCCTAGTTCAGAGACAACCTGGGAACCCCGTATATTAAGGCCCACAGAAGAAAGGCAAGCTGCCTTCTGCAGTTTGGAGGAGTATCTTGTGGGCGGGACCTGAGGCCTATTTCCAGGCCGGCGGTGCCGACCTCACCAGTTCAGGCAGGAATCTGGGCTGAAAGGCCGGTCCCTCCCACCCCGGCCTGACCCGGCACCTCCACATCTTGCCCCTCTGGGTGCTCACAGGAAGCCTCACTGTGCTCCTCCCAAACCCATGCAAACAGGGCAGGGGACAGGATCTATTCCTGCCCAAAACACATGTGCAGAATACAGCCTGTGTTTCCTCACACTGAATTCAACGGAAGGATTCATTCTGGTGGGTCTGTGTCACATTTCAAGCCTCCAATGGCCGAGCGAGGGGACCAAAGAGCAGCAACCGTTTCTGCTTGACTTTTAAGACGAACGGTATGAACAAGCAACGCTCGTTCAAAACATTCAGTCTGCCGCATTCAGTGTGCTAGGAGTATTTACTGTGCTCTTTTCAATTTAATCTCTTCATACCAACACCACTATAATCAATTGCATTCATATCCCACCTCTCCCCTTCACGGATCTCAAGAGAGCTTACACAACCCCCTTCCTTCTCTCACCCTCATCCTCCCAGCAACAACCCTGTGAGGCAGGTCGGGCCGCGGGTCAGTGACTGGCCAAAGTTGCCCAGTGAGCTCGGTGCCTGAGTGGGGCCAGAACCAGTCCCCCAGCTGCGAGCCCAACCCAAGGGCCTCTCCTTCTAGCCACCCCTAGCCAGAGTGCTCTGTGGGTTCCTGTAAGAAGCCAGAGTGCTCTGTGGGTTCCTGTAAGATCTTGAAGTGCTGCACAGGCCCAAGCAGGCGGAGCTTCCTTCTGCGCAGGCCCAGCACAGCAGGGGCACCCCTTGGAAGAGGGGCCAGACAACGCCCACCCAAGGAGGGCTCCGACCCAGGCAGCTGTGTGGAAGAGCCCTTCACCACCCATTTATTTCAAGGATGCAGCAACACGGCATATTAAAACGGAGAGAAGTCACACCCAAGGCATAATGCAAAGGGGAAGGGGAGGTTCTCATCCCTTCTGTAAAGAAACCCACGAAAGCACAAACGCGGCCCTCTCGTTGCTGCAGCAGGCATCCTGGTCTGCGGCTCCGAAGCCCAGAAACAGCCACAGCCCCCGCCCCCACAGTGAGAACGCGCGCAAGCAATAAGTTACGGTTCCGTACTGGTGCAACCAAGAAAGTTACTCGCTCCGCTCCTTCGGCTCACGATACTTCCACTGGATGTAGTCGAAGATGTCCTCCTCGCTGTCCACAGGGAGGGGCTCCCCAGCCACCCCTGAAAGGAAACCAGAGGGGGGGGGCTGAGCCTGGTTACAGGGGCCTGTTCAGGGCCACAGCCTGCCACTCTGCTTGGAGCACGCCGTTGCCCGAACAGGCAAGCTCTGTGGAGTCACTTCCCTCATGGACAGAAGCAGAACTGGCACCCACTTAGCAGAAGCGGGAACAACCCTCAAGGCCCTGCTTCGGCCCCAGGAGTCTTGGAACGCACCTCCCTGGACTGCCTGCACTGGCCAGGACTGGCGGGAGCTGGCCAGCCCTGCACAGGTTCAGGCCTCTGCTGCCCAGCTCTGGCCTCCTTTCCCAAAGACACAGTGGGGAAGGGGGACGGGGGGCTGCTGCAGCTCAGCACTAACAGGCCTGCCTCGTGTGCGAAGGCCTGGGGTCCCAGCCCCATGCAGGGCGGGGAAGGCAGGCCATCCTGGAGGGCTGCTGCCAAAGGTGCTGCGGAGGCTCAGGTGCCGGGGGGGGGGGGTGACACCTCTCCCTGGGGGTCCCAGAGGCAGGAATCTTCCCTCCCCTCTTAGCTTTAACTTTTTTCAACGGTCTTCACCACCTTAACATTCACTCAGCAACTGTGAGGACTAGACACCAGGGGCACCTTCTCTTTCCAGGAGTCTGACCGATCAGACCAACTTCAAAAGTTGTGCCCCGACGGCGGTCAGGCAGAGCAGCATTTCCCTCCTGAAGGCACCCCAGGGGCGGGGGGGGGGGCACTCACCGGTGACGCCCAAGGGCCGGATTGTGTACTCATTCAGGGTGAAGCCCATTTCCAAGGCGTGCACTCGCATGTTCTTGTTGAACAGGTCACTGCCCGTGAAGTAGAGGACTCCGCAGTAATACTGATCCTTCGGAATCAACCTGCAGGGATCCACCAAGGGAGGAAGCCACGTGACCTGTGGCAGCCACACACCCGCCGACGGCAGCTCTGCAAGCAGGGCAGCACAGGCTGGGGGCCGGGTCACGGGACGGTGCCCTCAGAGGGGGCCCAAACCTGACAGCCAGGGGCTCCGGGCTGACTGGGCCCCCGGTTCTCACTTGCACCCCGTCGCTCTCTCCACTGTATCGGATGCCACGTCCACTCTGTGGCCTGGGCCTCTGTGGTTTACTGCTTCTTGTGGGGGGTCTGGCAGGGCCAGCCCACCAGCCCGAGAGGCTGCTGTGTGGATCCCCTTTCCCCCTGCTGCCAGTGGCCACTACAGCAAGCTGCATGGAGGGAGGGGAGCACTGCCCAGCCCTGCCAAGAGAGGAGGATGGTGTAAATCCGTGCCCTGCAATGGCAGGAGGTTGATCCCGATGGCTTTCTGGCCCCTTCCAACTCTACCGCCGTGTGTTTCTACGATTCCTAATTGCTTGTAAGCCACTAAGCATGGACTGCCCTCCATACCATACGCTGCCACGGGTTGTCACCCACACCACATTCTGCCTGAGAGTTACCTGATATCAATTCTCCTGTAGGGATAGTCAGTTTCCTCATCTTTGCTTGGGAGTCTGCACACACCCTAAAAGGGGAGGAAAGGTGACTGAAAAGGAGCAATGTTTCCACTCACGAGGCACACTTGTGACCAGATCCCCTCAAATCAGACAATATGGGATGGAGCACAACACGGAAACCACCAGCCCGAAACAGCTACTTGGGGGTGGTCCCAGCAAAACAGGTTTTGCTGTTTTCTGTGTGCAGGCAAATTCCAGTCTTCAGCCTGCAAACTCTGGGCTTCGAAGAATCACAAGGCAGATTCCTGCGATGCAACTCAGAAGCCAGTATCTGGCCTGGACTGCGGAGCTTAGCTGGGGAAAATGGCCCCTGGAGGGCCACCGGAAGCACCACCCACTGCTTTTGGGACTGGAGACCCATCCTCTCTCAAGCTGCCACCATCACTGCCTGCCCAGCCCTGCACTAACACGAGGCCTGCGGAACAGCTGAGGAGCCATGCACGATTCCGCCCAGGGAGCCATGACCATGGCGCTGCGGTTACAATCATCACAGCAAAACTCTGAACCGCGGGGGGGGGGGGGGGGGGGGTCAAGCTTCAGGCTTGCCAGCTCTCCAAAGCAGTGATGAGCCTCAGCTCAGCTAGATGTGTGGCTCATAAGGCAGCCTCCAAGGCCGAACAGCCAGCCAGCCCTTGGATTAGGACTCTGCCGCTCGGGACTGCCTGCCACTTCCTCCCCCAGGTCAGGTCTTCTCTCAAGTTACACAGAAAGCATCTATGTGGATACGCACCATGAATTTGGTGTCTCCCTTCGACAGTGTGTCTGTGATGAAGTGGACTTTTTCCAGTTGCTCCACAACTTGATGCAAAAGCTTTGGCTGTCGAAATAAGAGTAGTGGTCATAATCAAGTAGGGAGTAAAACTCACATGGGATGTTCATGCAGGCGCATCAGCTGAATGTCCCACTGGAGGCGGAGTGGTTTCTTCTCTGCTAGGAGGAGGAAGAGGAGGTGCAAGAGGGCTGCTCTCTGGGGACAGGCAGGAACAGTCACACCAAGAGAAGTGGGCCAGGCCAGAGGCATGGTGCTGGCGCCCCGGGAGGCCGTGCGGAAGTTCGGCTCCAGCCACTGACGCCATTCTCTCATTCTTGCCACAGTTTGTGTCTTTTGCCTTTTATCAAGCCTCTTCTTTGCCGTGACTTTGCCATTGCCACACCTTTTCCTGCAACCTTGTACTTCAGCTGCCCCACCTCCACGGGTCTCTTTTTGGGAAGAATAGCCCACAATGCTACGATTTGTAGAGCATGAATGAGATTTTAATCCCAGAGAGATCAAGAGCATTCCCTTCGCTCACTGGAGTGCAAAGCTTCGACTTCTGATGATCCCAAAGTATATGAAATGCTCAGGAACATCCCGCATGTCACACTGCCTCAGTCAACGCATGTTAGAGGCCTGAAGTACAATGCATGCAGGTAACTCAGCAAAACCAGATTTGTTCAGTCTGCAGCATATTACAGGGCTCACTACTACTGTTAAGGAAATACCAAGAATGTGGAAAATATCAAACATTGGGGAATGGACTTTTTAAAGTGGAAATTGGTCTCCATTTATTAACAATTTAATATCCAAAATGTTTGAGACTGTAATTTTTATAATTGCTCTTCCTAAGCATTTCATTCAAAATTAATCTACCATATTAATCAATACTTGATTTTTCTCTGCCTACAGGTATATAGGAGACAAGAAATATTATTTTCACTTCACTATTTGTGGTGACTGAAATGTGCAACTGGAACATGTGAAGATATGCCTTGATTTTAAACATAACATTCAAGAAAGAACTCATACCTGCTTGGCAGAATCAGAAGTGAAATCTGGATGAGTCAAGAGGATATCCATATCTCCACTTGATTCTGCACCTATGAAAAGAGTATGTATCAAGACACTAAATCCTGCTTTGGAAATCTTGCTCACAGGTTAAGAAAAATCCATCCAAAGTTACAAGATTTCCAGAGGTTTTTTTGCATTGGTTCTTCAGCTCTTTCATGTTTGTTGAAGGTTCAACTACTGCCATGATTGTGTGAGCAACAGTCACGCTTACGCAACTTGAAGAGCACTGGAAAGCACCGCGACAGCTTTCCCTGTTCAGTCCTATAGTTCACTGAGTATAGAAAGAGAGCAATACCAAGTGACCACGGTGTAGAGAAAAAGTCCTTTAATCCCAGCATGGAACCACCAGCACGGCCAGCTAAAGAGATGCTGGGAACTAGAGGACTTCTTGTTCCAATGCACAGTGGTTGGAACTGTTGCTTCTCCCCACAGTCCAGCACTGCACTTTGGAGATCCTCATCTAAACAAATCCCAGAAGTTGGAGGCACAGAAACCTGCTGGCTGGTGCAGGAAAAGCCCAAACAAAAGCAGGATATAAATCTCATAATAAATAAATGGGAAACCTGCATTTGTAGCAGATGAGATATACAACCCACAGACGTGGCCAACTGACTGAACAAGTTACAAGGAGCACATTAAACAGCATGGACCACCAACCTCGGCGGAAGCTGCCACACACCGTCGCAATGTACTTGGAATCCACTTCCTTTATCACATTAACTACAATTTCCTGTCATATGGAAAAAAGATGGAGATATCATTTGATCTCTTTTTCAGTCATTTGGTTCATCCACAACAGCAATTTCTGGCTTGTTTAACCCAGGAATTGACACTAGCTAGCTGAAGGTGCTTCCACTTTGAATTAACAACTGAACACCACCTCATTGCTGGACTTTTATCATGACAACCTGGAAAGCTTTAGTTGTTTAAAGGTCAGGATTCACCTTCAGCAATAGACAGAAGCCTGGATTAGGGTTCTTGCTAACCAAACAACAAACCACTGGTCAACTTTGGGTTGCTTAACCTCCAAACAACCATGAGTTTCCAAGTTCAGACCCCATAACATTCTGGAAATATGGCGTGCCAGGGTTGTTTACTGAAAGCAGAAGTGACAAGCACGTGAGAGGTAGTGAACTTGCTACCTTCTGTTTGACCTCTACGACCCACAGTTTAAACCACCCCGAGGTATTATGCACAAAGTGGAACACTGAGTCTTGTGCCATTTTCCTTAGCGAGGAAGACAGGCACTCGTGCTCACCTGCATCTCCAGCATCTCCTTCCTAGGAATTCTTTTCTCAAAGTCTTCAAAATACCTGCACATTTGAAAGAAACAGGAATGAGGAAATAGAGAAAAGGCAGTGTTCCTCAAAACTTATTTCCATGCAAGTTCTGCTGAAATCAAACATGCTGATTCTGTGAAGAACCAAATGGTAATAAATAGTTCTCCACCTATACCCCTGTGCATACTTGAGTTTAATTTAAATGTTTGACTACATGAAGCTGGCTTTCCTGCTATAAAAGTAAGATTTAGTACCAAATTAAATTAACCTGGATTACTGCAACAATGCTCTATGTGAGGCCGACTCTGAAGACGGCTGGAAATCTCCAGGTGGTTCAGGGAGCCGCTGATGGAGGTTGGCTGCACCATGCTCACAACTTCATTGTAACACTTCACTGATTTAATCCTACTGTAACCTTTTCCTTTCTCTATGAGTGTTTTAATTGTATAAGTTTTTAACGCTGTGAGCCACCAGGACTCCCATCACTGGGAACAGGCTGGATGATTATTTAAAATAGCGCCTGTTCCTGGGCAAACAGTGACTCAAGTAATTTCAAATGGCCACAAGTGGTTCCCTGGATTCCACAAATTATATACAGATCTTACTTTAACCCAATTCGCTGATGATGGTTCAGTTTATGTTCATTTTTCCTCAGATCTAGAAGAAGCAGAGTCAAACAGTCAGTTAAGCATTGCTTCGGTCAACGGAGGGGAAGAAGCCACTTGGCATGACTTCAGCAGCAACACGCTCATCTGTTCAGTGGGAACTGTGGGCTGTGATCCCAGGGGATGGCTGAAAGGGAGCAGAGTCCCACTCGTTGTCTCCGACAAATTCAAATACTTCTTCCACTAACAGTGTAGGTTCTTGCACTGACTTTGGAGAACAAGCACACCTGAGCCAAGGCTTCCTCAGTCGCTTCTAAGCACAGGACACAACTGAGTGGGGCTTCCTCCTAGTGTCTGAGAACAGAGATCAAATGGCAGGGGGCACAGGAGCCAGGAGAAATGGGCCCGCAGGAGCCAGGCTGGCCTCGCAAAGGACTGCGAAGACTTTGGGGTGCAGGCATGGACAACGGCAACTGCACAAAGCCCGAGCAACACCACTGCAAGCAACGTAGTGCTGCTCGGCACTGAGCTGCCCAGAGCTCCCACCCTGCCTGCAGATTCCTGGGCAAGGAAGCAGGTTTGCGTAGTGGATGAGTGGCTCGATCCGCCACACCTCAAGTGAGAACACAGAGCAGACTCACCATCCAGCGTTTTAATGCCTTCATCCACTAGTTTCCTGGCAGCAGCTGGACTGCAAAGCAAGAAGGCAGCTCATCAGAGATCCTGACACACCATTTGATCAGATCAGATCGCATCTCCAGCTAGCACAACGCTAGTTCTAACTGAGGCACGGCACTGGCAGGTGGCTCACCCAAGGCAAGTGCAAGAAGCCATCCAGAGAAACCTGCTCGGACAGCGAGCACAGGCTCGCTGGGGTGGGAAAGGTGGCAGCCTGCGAAGGCCTGGGAGTGCACATAATTCAGAAGCAACTGCAACAGGGTGGATATTGGGCGGCTTGGCCTGTGCGGGGGCCGAGAGGCAGATCAGTCGCTAGCACCCGTGGCTGTCAACCCGGGTCACCCACAAGACTGACTTGTCTTTGCTCACACATACAGCCCAGGAGGAGGAACAGCCTGTTGCCGGGTTGTGCGCTGAGGACTGTTCAAACCACTAGCTGCTGCTGCAGGTGAACACAGAGGCACGGGGGTGTGCAGGTGGTGGCGACGGACTGCAGGGACTGGTAAAAAGCAGCACAGCAGCCGCTCTGTGCAGCAGCACACAGTGCTACAGGGGCATTCGGGGCAGCGACAGCATTGCAGAAGCAGGAAGAATCTGCATGGATGGTACCACCCGGAAGCAACCAGTTCTCGGGGTGATGACAAAAAAAGGAAAAGCATCAGAGGGGTGCAATGCTTGGACTGCTGGACGGGGGCAGGCAGCTCCAAGGTTCTAGTCTGCTCTTCACCATGAAGCTCCACGGGTGACTGTGGGCCAGGTTCTTAGCCTAACCTACGTGGCAGGGTTGTGCTTGTGAGGATAAAAGGACGAGGAGAATTATATACACCACTTAAGGAGGCCCACCAACAGAATAAACACAAGTGAAGCAAAAGTGGGACAAAAAGACATTTAGCATCATATATAGCAATTGCAGGAGACAACATAAAAGCAAGGGAAGAGAGTGACAGAGCAAAATCAGAAACAGGAGCAGCCAATCCCAAAAAGTTGTAAGACGCATATAAAGAAAAGGAGCTCCAGCTGGAATGGGAGGCTAGACTGGAGGCACCAAGTCAGCCTCCCTGGGAAGGGCATCCTGCAATGGCCAAGCCAGGGCAGCATTTGACTGATGGCCAGCCAGCTACACCCTGGCTACATCTAGCAACGGGGAGAGCCTTTCCCCTCTCCATGCCAGCCTGCAGCTGGAATCGGCTCCCCCACAAGCTGCAGCTGCAGGGCACGCCTGCCTCAGGCCGGTGACCAGCCACTTCCTAGCCACCTGAAGGCAGCCTTCCGGCCTCCTCCTGCCCCTCCACCAGAGGGATTGCAGGATGGGGGCACTGCCGCAGCAGCACCAGAAGGGCAGTTCGGCCCCCTGCAAAATGTTCCGCAGAGGAACAGCAACCTGCTTGCTGCTCATCCAAGGGAGCTGGGCACCACTGCTCAGAGGCAAGACTGCTGTTCTCCATGGGTACCACCACTGCACCCGCTCTCTCCCTCAGACCCCTTTCCTACCCCAAGTTGTTCAAATGCATACACATTTACCCTATTCCACTAACTCTGGTGAGGAAATTGATGGAAGAGCTCGTATCATCCTGCCGAATCTAAAGGGGATAAAAGTAGACTCAGTCACCTGCAGCCCTGCACAAAGGTGTTCAACCAAGACACATGAAGCTGAAAGAGCAGCTGGTGGACACGGTCCTGCGCAGCTCAAGAGAGCTTCCTCGGTGGATCGGGGGCCGCAGAGAACCCTGCCCTTGCTCTGCCCCCTCCTCTCCCTGCTCAATGGGAGCACCTGGGCCAGTGGCAGCCCAGCAGCAGTGAGACTGCCGGGGCCCAGCGCTATGTGCAAGGCACACTGGGTGCTCCACACAGGTTTCAGGCGCCGCTAAGGTGGCAGGGAAGATGCTCTGCTGGGAGCTGGATTGATCCCTGGCACCTTCAGGCTGGAAAGACCACTGCCTGCAAACCTAGCATGCCATTTTATTACTGTTTGCCTGATGAAGAGATCAGCGTGTCTTAAAAGCATGCATGTTTTGTGATCACTGAGCAAGCCTAATCAAGGTACCAGACAAATATAAATGTTCAAATATCAATGTGCAACTTTCAGAGTTAAACATTATCATCGGTAGAAAATAATACAACATAAAAATATTTACCTTTTCTAGCTTACGTAATTTTCCAGTAGACAGAAACTCATCAATCTTTTCAGCAATTTTAGCTCCTACGCCATCCTAAAAAATATGAAGGAATGGGAAAAAATAAGCAAAATGATAGGACTATGTGCTTGTGGTATTAATCCAAACTGAATATGTTTGTTTGTTTATTTTATTTGGGTATTTTTACCCTGTCCAATACCCAGCGGGTCTCTGGACAGCTTACAACTCAAATCCAGCAAATACATACATATACATATATACCCAAATAATACACGTAATCCACAAACAGAGCATAAAAACATAGTTAAAATATTAAACATTAAAAGTACGGAAGAATAAAAAGGTCTTGACCTGGCGCTGAAAAGTGTGTAATGTTGGCGCCAGGCCGACCTCTCTGGGGTAAAAAATGTTAGGTGGTCACTTGCATCAAAATGCAACAATTCACAACTGGCAACACAAATTCATATTGTTCAGATGGTACAACATAAACCACATTAAAGACGTAAAGACATGTTGCAAGGAAGAGCTGGCTGACTCGAGGACATGGATGGGTAACACAATACATCAGCTGATATTATCCATCAATGGTTAAGCTACATGTGTCACCATTCATATTTTCCTCTTTTTTCCTGCTGCTTTAACATAGCCGGGTTACAAGCTGTACTTGAAACGTCCAGCCAAACTGCAGACATGAACAAAAATCCAAAGATTAATCCTGCAAGCTCTGTTCATAAAATGACGGTAAATCATGGGCCACAGGACTTACCAGTTTCTTTGCTTCCGCCCCGCTTTGTATCTTGCTTGGGTACTTGGCTATTACAGATGCTGCTTTCCTGCACAAAGCAGTGAAGAAAAATCTCCATTCCAGGTCTGGGCAAAGGCAGCCAGCATGCAGTCAGAGACCTCCACAAAGGGATGGCGGCAGTTGCAGCGAGAGCAACACTTGCTTTAGACTCAACCATTTCTGAGTGTTTACAGACAGCAACAGGATCTCTCTCCGCAAAGACACAGCCGAGTCTGACTGCTTATACCCAACGGCTTCCTTTGCAAGTGTTGCCAGATAGTTTGAGGGCAGTTCTGTAAACATGTCTGCTTTGCCAAAAGGCAAGGTAGAAACTGACCCATTTAGCGAATGGTTCACCTACAGCCCCTCTCAGGATTTGTCTGTTTTGCCTCCCACTCTGCCACCACGTCAGCTATGCCACCGGCCAACAAGTTCCATCATCCCACTGCACTGCAAACTTACATTTTGCAGCAGTGAAATTCCCTTTTCCATTTCTAGCCACCTGTTCTACCAGCTTACATATGACTTTACTATTTATTTAAAGTATTTGCATGCCGTCCCATCACATGGCCTCAGGACGGCTTACATAAAATAAAACAAAACATAATGCACATAAAATACACACACACATTTAATAGCTATTTCCAAGGTAACCAAGGCCTTTTTGGGACTGAAGAAGACACCCTAAGAAAGAGCCTCAAAATCTATGGTGGGGAATCAATGGAGTGGTATTGTAAAAGAACAAGAACTTCATATGTCTTGAGCTGTCCTCATTCAAAAGCCCTTTGCATGGCTCCTTCCCAGAATACTGTTGTAATTCCAATCAAGGCAGATCCATGGACTGTGCCCAAGATACAGTTCTTACCTGTAGGCATTATACTTGTGGATGGCTCTATTTACATTCCTCTCATAGTTTGCCAATTCTGAAACAAAGAGTAGTTTAGTGTGAAGGGTGCATACATTAAAATGACATAATACAAAAAACAGAAGCACAAACGTTACACGGCATGAGAAAAAACAACCTAGTTAAGCTTGGGGGAAAAAACACATTTTTGTGTAAGTAATTAGCCAATGGCACAAAAAACCATACAAAAGGGCAAAGGAACTCTCCCTAATTTGGTTTCTACTTCACCAGGTAAGTGCAAACCCAGCAATATGATCAAAAAGCATATTTCTTCGCATGTTCCAATTTGGCATTGATTGAACAAAGAAAATTAAATCTTCTATCTGCACTCCTTGCGCACTTATAACCGGTACTACTGTTGTTGTTGTTGTTAGTCACAAAGTCATGTCCGACCCATCGCGACCCCATGGACAACATTCCTCCAGGCCTTCCTGCCCTCCACCATCCCCCACAGTCCACTTAAGATCACACTGACTGCCTCAGTGACTCCATCCAGCCACCTCATCCTCTGCCGTCCCCTCCTTCTTTTGCCTTCTATTGTTCCCAGCATCGGGCTCTTCTCCAGGGAGTCCTTCCTTCTCATTAGGTGGCCAGAGTACTTGAGTTTCATCTTCAGCATCTGGCCTTCTAAAGAGCAGTCAGGGTTGATCTCCTCTAGGACTGACCGGTTTGATCGCCTTGCGGTCCAAGGGACTTGCAGGAGTCTCCTCCAGCACCACAATTCAAAGGCCTCAATCCTTTGGCGCTCAGCCTTCCTTATAGTCCAGCTTTCACATCAGTACATTGCAACTGGGAAAAACATAGCCTTGACTATACGCACTTTTGTTGGCAGGGTGATGCCTCTGCTTTTTAGTATGCTGTCTAGATTTGCCATAGCTTGCCTCCCAAGGAGCAAGTGTCTTTTAATTTCTTGGCTGCAGTCCCTGTCTGCAGCCTTGGAGCCCAGGAAAATAACATCTGTCACTACCTCCATTTCTTCCCCATCTATTTGCCAGGAAGTGAGAGGACCGGATGCCATGATCTTAGTTTTCTTAATGTTGAGTTTCAAGCCAACATTTGCACTCTCCTCCTTCACCCGCATCAAGAGGCTCTCTTTCTGCCATGAGAGTGGTATCATCTGCATATCTGAGGTTGTTGATATTTCTCCCAGCAATCTTAATTGCAACTGGTGATTCATCTAGGCCCGCCTTTCTCGTGATGTGCTCTGCATATAAGTTAAATAGGCAGGGCGACAGTATATAGCCTTGCCAAACTCCTTTCTCAATTTTGAACCAATCAGTGGTTCCGTGCCCAGTTCTCACTGTTGCTTCTTGACCCACATATAGGTTTCTCAAAAGACAAATAAGATGGTCTGGTACTCCCATCTCCTTAAGAACTTGCCACAATTGGTTGTGATCCACACAGTCAAAGGCTTTAGCATAGTCAATGAAGCAGAAGTAGATCTTTTTCTGGAACTCCCTAGCTTTCTCCACGATCCAGCGTATGTTGGCAATTTGATCTCTAGTTCCTCTCCCTCTTTGAAATCCTGCCTGTACTTCTTGTAGTTCTCGGTCCACATACTGCTGGAGCCTAGCTTGTAGGATTTTGAGCATCACTTTGCTAGAATGTGCAATGAGTGCAATGGTGCGGTAGTTCGAACACTCTTTGGCATTGCCCTTCTTTGGGATGGGAATGTAAACTGACCTTTTCCAATCCTGTGGCCACTGCTGAGTTTTCCAAATTTGCTGGCATATTGAGTGTAGCACTTTTACTGCATCTTCTTTTAAGATTTTGAATAGCTCGGCTGGAATACTGTCGCCTCCACTAGCTTTGTTGTTGCTCAGACTTCCTAAGGCCCATTTGACTTCACATTCCAGGATGTCTGGCTCCAGGTCAGTGACCAACCCATCGTGGTTATCAGGGACATTAAGCTATTTCTTGTATAGTTCCTCTGTGTAATCTTGCCACCTCTTCTTAATCTCTCCTGCCTCTGTTAGGTCCTGGCCATTTTGGTCCGTTATCATGCCCATCTTTGCATGAAAGTTCCCTTCACATCTCCAATTTTCTTGAAGAGATCTCTGGTCCTCCCTATTCTATTGTTTTCTTCTATTTCTTTGCACTGTTCATTTAAGAAGGCATTCTTATCTCTTCTAGCTATTCTCTGGCATTCTGCATTCAATTGGGTGTACCTTTCTCTTTCTCCCTTGCCTTTCGCTTCCCTTCTTTCCTCAGCTTCCTCAGACAGCTTCCTCAGACAGCCATTTCGCTTTCTTGCATTTCTTTTTCGTTGGGATGGTTTTAGTTGCTGTCTCCTGTGCAATGTTGCGAACCTCCGTCCATAGTCCTTCAGGCACTCTGTCTATCAGACCTAATTCCTTGAATCTATTTGTCACCTCTACTGTATATTCATCAGGGATATGATTTAGGTCATACCTGAGTGGCCTAGTGCTTTTCCCTACTTTCTTCAATTTAAGCCTAAATTTTGCAACAAGAAGCTCATGATCTAACCCACAGTCAGCTCCTGGTCTAGTTTTTACTGACTGTATAGAGCTTCTCCATCTTTGGCTGCAAAGCACATAGTCAATCTGATTTCTGTGCTGACCGTCTGGTGATGTCCATGTGTAGTCGTCTCTTGGGTTGTTGGAAAAGAGTGTTTGCTATGACCATCGTATTCTCTTGACAAAATTCTACCAGCCTGTGCCCTGCTTCATTTTGTACTCCAAGGCCCAACTTGCCTGTTATTCCGGTAATCTTTTGGCTTCCTACTTTAACCTTCCAATCCCCCATGATAATAAGGACATCCTTTTTTGGTGTTAATTCTAGAAGGTGCTGTAGGCCTTCATAGAACCGGTCTACTTCCGCCTCGTCAGCACCAGTGGTTGAGGCAAAGACTTGGACTACTGAGATGTTGAATGGTTTGCCTTGGATTCTAACTGAGATCATTCTGTCATTGTGGAGATTGTATCCCAGTACTGCTTTTCCTACTCTTTTATTATGAAGACTACTCCATTTCTTCGAAGGGATTCTTGCCCACAGTGGTACACCTGATGGGCATCTGAATTAAATTCACCCATTCCTGTCCATTTTAGTTCACAGATTCCTACGATGTCGATGTTCAGGCTTGTCACCTCTTGTTAGACCACATCCAGCTTGCCGTGATTCATGGATCTTACACTCCGGGTTCCTATGGAGTATAGATCTTCGCAGCATCGGACTCTCCTTTCACCACCAGATACATCCGCAACTGAGTGTCCCTTCGGCTTTGACCCAGTCGCTTCCTTCTTTCTGGCACTACGAGTACTAGCCCTCTGTGCGTCCCCAGTAGCACATTGGACACCTTCCGACCTGAGGGGCTCATCTTCCGGCATCATATCTCTTTGCCTTTTGGTACCGTCCCGGGGGTTTTCACAGCAAGGGTACTGGAGTGGGCTGCCATTTCCTTCTCCAGGCACTACTGAGGTGGTTTCAAAAGGGAAGACAAGTTAACGGAGCCCAGCAGAACTTCCATGTTGAGAAAGGGACTGTTGCTAAGCACCTGCTGAGCGCCAGCAGGAGGAAAGCGCCGTCGCGGAAGCATCGGGCTGCGCTCTGCGGACAGAGAGGGCCGAGGCCACGCTCCGCGCCAGCCTGGTCGCTCTCGCGCTTTACAAAGTCGCCTCAGGGACGCCCAGGCCAGCTGGTCTGAGGGAGGAAACCGCCGCTGGAGAACGAGGCCGCGTGCCCGCGGAAAGGCTCCCGCCTCCCCCGCCCCCACCGCCCCCGGGGCTTGCGGCCGCGGGCCCGGCTCTGCGCGCCGGGACGGCCCAGGCCGAGCGCCGCCGCCGCCGCCGCCCCCCGCAGGGCGCACCGGTCAGGAAGTCCGTGATGCCCCCGTTGGGGTTCTCCTGCGGCGCCTTGCGCTTGCTCATGGCTCGCCCGCGGCTTCCGCTTCCGCGCTGCCACGGCGACGGGGGCGCGGCCCCGCCCGCCTCCGGAAGTGCCCCCGGTGCGCAGCCGCTCCGGGACGCGCCTCTCCCCCGCCGCGGCGAGCCGAGGCCGCGAAGGGGGCCGCCCCAGGCCGGCCGGAAGCGCCGCTCCCTCCCGCGGCTCGCTGCCCGCCGCGGCGCGCGCACCGCCGGATGTGACGCGGCCGCGAGCCAGCCGGAGCCGCCGCGGACGGACGATGTGAGTGGCGCCGCCTCGGCCCCCGCCCGCCCCCCCCCCCCCCCCCCCCCCCGCCGGGGGCCCCCACCCCCCGGGTGCTTCCCCCCCCCCCGGGCCAAGGTCACCTTCAAGGTCACGCTCACGTCGGACCCGCGCCTGCCCTACAAAGTGTGAGTCCGTCGCGCCTCGGAGCGGGCCGGGCCCGCTCGCCGCCTTGCGATCGCGGGGGTTTCCCGGGCGCGGGTCTGGGCGCCGCGCAGGACGCACCGCGGGGGAAGCGCTGGCGCCGGCCGCAGGTGGAGGCTGGGGACACCTCGGAGGAAAGGAGGCGGCCCCTCGCTGGAGAGAGGACGGTGGCTGCCGGGGCGCCTCGCCGGGGGGGCGGCCTTCCCGGGTGTCCGGCGCGCCGCACCTGCTGCCGCGCTTCCCGACGGGGCCCCGGCGCCGGGCCGACTCGCGCGGGCAGCCGTGCTCGGGCGCCCTTCCCGAGTGCGCGGGCCACAAGCCAGGCTGGGGGCTCAGAGAGTGTTGCCTGGCTCTTCCGGGTCACTTGAAGACTTGGCTGCTAATTGGAGTTGGATAATGGAGAAAGTCTGGTACGCTGGGAAGAAGAGCGGGCAGCAACTCTCTGTACGCCATGTTCCTAAATGTAGATAAATTTGGGAAGTGTAGTAAAAGAAGCAGGCTTCAAGTAGAGATTTGCAGTTGCTCAGGCAGATTTACGTGTTACTAATTTTGTGAAACTAAAGTTCTGAACTAACCCAGAAATTTTACAATTCTTGCAGATTAAGTGTGCCAGAAAGTACACCTTTCACTGCGGTCTTGAAGTTTGCTGCTGAAGAAGTAAGTGGTTTTCTGGAAGAATCAAGAGCTGCTGCTGTTGCTTTTTTAGGTTAAAGGAATTATAGTTTGATTTTTAGTTTGTATTTCTCAAAGCAGAGAATAAACAACTAAGTATAAACAACATGGTAGTGTTAATCTAAAGCCTTACTAAAGCAGAATAGCAGTGGTAAGATACTTTGTGTTAAGTGTAACACAAGGAGGAGTGGTTAAGTGTCCTTCTGTATTTAATGTATCATTTTTCTGTTTTATTTAGTTCAAAGTCCCTGCAGCAACAAGTGCCATTATTACAAACGGTGAGTGCTTTGTAGTGTAACTTAGTAACTTCTGGCACAGGCCTTATCTTAGGGACCACTTTAGTCAGCCATCTGCTGACTGGGGTCTGAAATTTCATGTGCTTTAAAGCAACAGCAAAGCAACAGCAGCCTCTGTGGCTCCTCTGAAAGCAGCAAGAGGCTGGCATGAGGAGGTTGGTGACTAGTCATACCTGGCCCCTCTCTGTAGGAGTGCTGTCAGTCCCTGCAGTGCCTCTAAAACCCTGCTCCCAGAGCCCTGATCCTCTCCCCACACTTGTCCTGTGCAGACACATTTCTGGGGGGCCTGATCCCCCCGCCCCCGGCTCAGTTTAACGTCTTCTGGACGAAGCTCGCTAGAGCATCTCCAAAGGACCTTTTCCCCATCCTCGTGAGGTGCAACCCGTCCCTTGCCTGAAGTCCATTGGCAAGAAACCGGGTGCCGTGGTCAAGGAACCTGAAGCGTTCCTTCTGGCACCGCACCCTAAGCCAGTCGTTCGCCTCGGCGACCCTCCTGTCCCTGCCTGGCCCAAATCCCCGGACCAGTAAGATCGACGAGAAGGCCACTTGGGCCTTTAGCTCCCTGAGTTCCTTCCCTGAGGCCTCGAAGTCCCTGGTGATCCTGACCACCCCCTGCCTGGCCACGTCGTTTGTGCCCACGTGGATCACCAGGAGCGGCTGGTGACCCCAGAGCGAACAAGGCGCTCCACTCTGTCCTTCACATGCCGGATGCGTGCGCCCGGCAGGCAGCAGACCTCCCTTGTCTCCAGGTCGGGATGGCACACCACCGGCTCAGTGCCCCTCAGCAGGGAGTCCCCAAGAACAATCACCCACTGCCATGCCTTCCCGGTGCTGGTGGGCGGCCGTGCCCTGGCCCTCGCCTCTCCTGCAGCGGCCCCCTTGCCGCCCGTGGTCCCAGGCTGGGGGTCCTGCTGGTCCCCCAAGGCCTCATCAGCCCCAGCCTCCCCAAGTGGAGAGAACCTATTTCCCAGCTCCCAGATTGGTGCCAGGAGAAGGGGGAGGCCTGCTGGCCTCCTCCTCCTGTGGGTGACATGCCTCCATGTCTCCCCAGCCGCTTCTCCTGTGGCCCCTTCCTCAACCCTCTGTCCAGAGGGGGGCTGCTTCCAGGGGTCTGGAGAGCTCTCTTGGCCCTCAGGCACCTCAACTCCTCCTCTGGCAGGACCACCAGCTTGCACCGAGGGCAAGTGTAGCCCTGCCTCTCCTGGGGGAGAAGGGCGAACATGTTGCGGCTGTCACAGCGGACCGCTACACCCGTGACTCCTGCCAGGCCATCGCCTGGTTTGCCAATGGGAACTCTTCCAAGACCCTACCTTGGTCCCCCGCCTTGTCTATCCTGCAGTACCCCTCACTCGCCCAGTTCTCCCAGACAAAAACGCACACACATACGTAAGGATAAAATAAAATTTAAATTGGAGGAAAAACGAAGGCAAAGTGCAGAACAGCACAAAACATAAACAAAGAAAAACGAAGCAATTAAAAAAACCCCTCAGCCTCCCAGGGAAGGGAGTCCCCAGGCAGCCCGGGCCACAGCTAAGGGACGCAGACAAGGGACAGCACCCTTGTCGCGTTGCTGTTGGCGCCACGTCCGTTGGTGCCACCAACCGCTGAGCACGGCCTTATCAGTCCCTCCGGCTGGTGGCCCCGCCCCCTGCTCCCTCCCGGCCCCTCCCGCCTCCCTGGCCCCGCCCCCTTCCTCTCTGCTGCTCCTGGCCCCCTGCTCCCCGCCCAGCTCCTCCCTTGCCTTCGCCAGTCCCCTGGCCGCTCAGCCCTCTCTCCCAGCCGGTGCCTCTGCTGCTCCGCCAAGAGGCCAGAGCCAAAAGGATGTGGCTTGACCAAGGAGGATGTGGTGGTTTTTGCTGTCCCCACACTGGCTTTCTAGAAAATGGGTTGTCACACAGTGGCCCGCCATGCTCCTTTATCTGGCCTTCCTCGGAGCTTTTGGACTCCCTTGGAGAAAATGATCTCCAAGGGAATCCAAAAGCTTTGAGCCGGCACAGGCATACTCCTTCCCTGCACAAGCGCGTCTGCAACCACTCCCATCTTCCCTGCATGGCACCCTTCTTCCCCCCCTTCCCCCCCCCCAGGAGGAGGGGAGCACGATTGTGGACATTGTAGCTCTGTCCCTTGAATATGGACATGCTCTTCCCCACCTCATCTTGGGCTTCTGCTGCAGCCCAAGCGAGTGGAGCAAACATTTCAAATTATTTTTAATTAATTTTATTTTAATTAATTTTTAAATTTTAATTAATTTTTAATGTGCAGTTTGCATAGGAATTCGTTCATATTTTTTTCAAAGTATAGTCCATCCCCACAACAGTTTGAGGGACAGTAAACTGGCCCCGTTTAAAAAGTTTGAGGACCCCTGGTCTAGAAGGAAGCAAGCAGGATATCTTGGCTTTGCAAATGTGGGAGCAGCCACATTTAATCACAAGTGAGAGACTGGGCAAGCTGCAGCTGAGGACCAGTTCTTCCTTCGCTGGCTCTTCATTCCCTGCATCCTAAAGGGATTTTGCGTCTTGCCCAAAAACCGCCCAGGCTGGGCATAATGCTGGCAGCATTTGAAGGCAAAGGAAGGGTACGCAGTGCGGCTCAGTGCTTGTGATGTTTGCATGCTTCTTACTGGTTACAAGGAACAAGGCTGTGATGCTTCTGCAGCAAAAAACCTCTCTTATCTGTGCCTTGTTGCCAGTGGTGAAAATGGGCCATGCCTGTCCCAGTGCAGATCACACTTGATTTTCTGGATCTGGGTTGATGCAGGAAAACTGCTTAGTAGATTCTATTGGGAAGTTCACACTTGCCGTTGGTTTGCAGCTGTGGTGGAACAGCAGGCTTGCTGTTTGTTATTGAGAGGAAAAGTTGGGTAGTGTGTGTGTGAATTAACTATTTCATTCCCTTTCTGGCAGATGGAATAGGAATAAATCCTGCGCAGACAGCTGGTAAGTAGCCTTTTCTCAGTACCACATGAAGTGGCCCTCCCACTCATCTCCAGAGGCACCCTGCAACTTTTCTGTTTTGCTCTGTCATGTCGCCTAGGAAGGCCTCAGCGATTATAGGCGGCCTAGAAATACAGTGGTACCTTGGCTCACAAAACTTAATCCGTTCCAGGACTCTGGTCACAACCTGAATTGGTTGCAAACCAAGTCAAATTTCCCCATAACGTTCAATGTAAATAAGGTTAATCCGTTCTGTAAATATTTTTTTAATCACACAAATTTGAAACAAAGTAACCAAGAACAACAAAGTAACAAACTACAGTAGAAAACACTAACCTAGGTGGAGGGAGGTTATTGTTTGGAGAGAGAGTCCAAACGATAATCATGCAATAGCAATTGTGCTCAGGGAAGGAGATGGTTGCGATTGCGCTCATGCAGGGAAGAGGGGAGCAGGCACGATTGTGCTCTGGGAGGGAGAGGATGGGTGCAACGGCGATCGCACTCGTGCGGCAACACGGCTGTGATTGTGGTCGTCGCCCAATGTGGAGTTCCCGAACTGAGGCAAACTTTTTCTGAAATACCAGTTCGCGACCCGATGCGGTGGTGAACGGAGGCATTTGTGAGCCGAGGTACCACTGTCCATGTAAGTAAGTACATAAATATCTATTTCAGCATGATAGTGCGTAAAGCGGTATGTGTAAGCGCCTCAACACAGAGCATGCTTGTTCCATGTGCAGCTTCTGCCCAGACCAAAGCAGGTGCACTGCCAGTCACATGTGCGGAAGTTGTCTGTGTCACACACTCCGGTAATCCATTTTCTTTTCTTTTCAGGAAATGTTTTCCTGAAGCACGGTTCAGAGTTACGGCTTATTCCCAGAGATCGTGTCGGGAGATGCTGACGTGTGCATGCCCTTGCACCAATGTATTACAAGCAGCAGACAAATAGATCAGTAAGCATCTTCACCGGAGAATTAGCGCCTTCTGCCCTAACACATTGCCCTGTGAAACCACTACGCCCATACTCAACTCCTGCCAGAAAAGCTGAATTAATGTTTCTGACTTTACATGGGAGCCTTTTCTGAATCTTGGAATGCATTTGCCCTGACTCCATCATTCATGAATGGAACGGGCGCCTGCCTCACTGTGCCAAGGAGTCTCCTCCACTGAAGTGAATAGGTCGGTCCTCCACACTCCCTAGCACAACCTTCCCCAATCTCCTACCCTCCATGTTTCAAACTTCAGCTTCCATCACCCACAGTCAGCATGGGACTTGGAAACACCTGGAGGGCACAGCTGCACCAGTAAGTTTGCAAGTACCATAGCAAAGTTTGCTCATCAAAGCATTTGCATGTGCCAGTTTGGCTCAGTTTTGATTGTGTATCTAAGATCATTCATAGTTTTAAGTTATCAGTTCAGAAAGAAAACTTTTAATTAATCATATTTTGTTAAGTAACATATGGCAAACATCCCCTTTTTTGACCTTGCAGTACTGTCAGGAATTGTGTCCTACATTCCAGAAAAATTTATTCATTGGAAAGCTTGGGTTGCTTTTGGAGTGGAGGAAAAGTTGTGGGTGTCTCTGTATGTTTTGAATATGCCAACGTTGGTCCACAGACATCATGAGTTGGTTTGTTCAACATGTTTCCCACAGGCATATGTTTTACGAAGGAATGCAACTTCTGCCCACTGAATAATAAATTATACCTTATGATCTAAGCTGCCAGGCTTCTTTGTATGAAACGAGGCTTTATCCCTATTACATGAAGAGGGCAGGCAAGAGGGAGGGCGCAATTCTAGCTAGTTTGGATGGGCTGCTTTTGTTTCTCCCCAGTTTACCAAGGAACCCAGGGTGGCAAAAGCAAAGCCTTCGCCTTACATAGGAATGATTTCTGTCTTCCACAAAAGGACAGTGTATGTTGCGTTTCTGTATTCAGGATGGCAAAACAACGGAGCCCATCTCTGCAAGGGAGACTGAGCATCTCTCGTCCCTCTGTGAGCCTTGATCAACAAGTGCCCAGGAGAAAGGGGCAGAGTTAGAAGATCTACAGATTGATCGTAACTCTTCACACCCGAGTGAATTGCAACAATGAACTTGAGATTCCTCTACAGGGCGTGATGTTACTGTTCTTAGGACACGATCTCTCAGTAAGCCATTCCGTTTGGATAGCAGCATGCCCTTTGGTAGGAAACTTGTCGCTCTGCCTCAGTTGGCTACAGCCTTCAGAGCGCCTCACCGCTGACTATGCTGGCAGAAGCTGTTCGCCAAAACCTAGCGTCCAAGAGTATGCGATACCTGCCCTAACTCAAGCAGGAAGTCTGGGCCAATCGTTCTTAGACATGTTGGCACCTGCCATGGATTCCTGTTAGCAGAGCACCTCCGACCTCCCTGGGAAGGCTTTTCCAGCACGAGGTGCAGCTAAATACTTGCAGAGAACTTACATCCCTCCTTTGCAGCCATAATTACTAGAAGTATTACGTACACAAAAAGTTTATTAAAAGTGTCAAAGAAACAGAACAGGTGAAGCGTCTTCACCAAGGAGGACACGAATAGGGGCGCAATACCCCCCCCCCCCCGGACTGCATTTACCTTCCACAGCAAAGGCGAAACACACTTGGAGCAAGCCTGCGGGGGAGTGGCTACGGCTTCTGGCCGAGGGCAGGCCCCGCCGTGGCCACGAGGGCCGAGCCCGCCAGGCTGCTGCCCAGCGTGATGAGGGTGGCGCCGGCTGCGGCAGACCGCATGCCCTGTGGAAGCACCTGCCTGCTGGGGAGGCTCTCCTTGGTGGGGAGGACGGCGCTGCTGCCGTCCAGGACGGAGGGCACCCTGCCGAGGGTTTCCGTGGCCCCCAGCGTGTGGCCCTTGGTCAGAGCAGCCGTCTCTCCCCGCTGGCCTAGGGCGCGGTCCCCCTTCACAGCAGTCAGCGTGGAGGTCAGTATCACTGTCTTGGAGGATGTCTGCAGAACGGGACCCACTTTGGAATGCACCAGGCTGCAGGAGGCGCCGGCTGGCGGAGCCGAAGTGGCAAAGGTCACGGCTCCGACGGGGGCAGGTGATGCGGGGGAGGACATGGCCGATGGGATCCCTGGGGGCTTCAGAGGGGCAGACGCGGCCTCCGCCATAACAGATTTTGTGAGCGCAGACAGCTTGGCATCTGACATCACATAGAGCGTCTTCATGGGGCTTGTGGTGGTCACTATGGCAGAACAAGAAGAGCGGTGTCAGCAATCAAGCCCCTCAGCTGCACCCCCATCCTCCTGTTGCACTCTGGGAAAAGAGCACTCTATTCTTGACAGCGGACAAACCCCCGGAAGGGATGCTTAAACCAGCCAGGCATCCCAGGCCATCCTCTCGCCACACCTGCCTACGGTATTTTCCACTGGAGTGTCTCAACACTGAGGTGGAGCCCAAGCACGGCATTAGGAAGGAAGCATGACATGAGGGAAACACTTTCTCGGTTATCGTGGATGGAGCGCAGGCACGCGACTTGGGTTCATACACAATTTCACTTGCTCCGATAGGCTCTGGGAGGCATGTGGGCAGGGTAAGTTGGCAGGAATGGCCCTGGAGCCTCCTCCACTATATCCAGCATAAACCTAAGGAAACATGTTAAAAGAGAAATCCATCTCCTACTTTGGGAAAGTACAGATTGCCATTCTTGGCAAATTCCTGGCATAGCTCCTGCCCTTCAGTTCAAGAATGAGACTGCTGCAGCAACCTCAGGAACGAGGGGTGATCAACAGGACTGCAAGGAGACTCTTGCATCATGTTGTATTTCAAAGTGTTTCCCACAAGTCAGCAAGCTTTTAACCGTGTTTATTTTCAAGTACCTATTGTGCTTTCTCTTTTCACCTCTGTATTCCTCTTAGGAATCAGTGAACTAAAATGGACAGGAATGGGTGAATTTAATTCAGATGCCCACTGTGGGCAAGAATCCCTTTGAAGAAATAGAGTAGCCTTCATAGTCAATAAAAGAGTAGGAAAAGCAGTACTGGGATACAATCTCCACAATGACAGAATGATCTCAGTTTGAATCCAGGGCAAGCCATTCAACATCTCAGTAGTCCAAGTCTTTGCCCCAACCACTGGTGCTGAAGAGGCTGAAGTTGACCAGTTCTATGAAGGCCTACAACACCTTCTAGATTTAACACCAAAAAAGGATGTCCGTATTATCATGGGGGATTGGAAGGTTAAAGTAGGAAGCCAAAAGATTACCGGAATAACAGGCAAGTTGGGCCTTGGAGTACAAAATGAAGCAGGACACAGGCTGGCAGGATTTTGTCAAGAGAATACGATGGTCATAGCAAACACTCTTTTCCAACAGCCCAAGAGACGACTCCACACATGGACATCACCAGACGGTCAACACAGAAATCAGACTGACTATGTGCTTTGCAGCCAAAGATGGAGAAGCTCTATACAGTTAGTAACAACTTGACCAGGAGCTGACTATGGGTTAGATCATGAGCTTCTTGTTGCAAAATTTAGGCTTAAATTGAAGAAAGTAGGGAAAAGCACTAGGCCACTCAGGTATGACCTAAATCATATCCCTGATGAATATACAGTAGAGATGACAAATAGATTTAAGGAATTAGATCTGATAGATAGAGTGCCTGAAGGACTATGGATGGAGGTTCACAACATTGCACAGGAGACAGCAACTAAAACCATCCCAACGAAAAAATGCAAGAAAGCGAAATGGCTGTCTGAGGAAGCTGTCTGAGGAAGCTGAGGAAAGAAGGGAAGCAAAAGGCAAGGGAGAAAGAGAAAGATACACCCAATTGAATGCAGAATGCCAGAGAATAGCTAGAAGAGATAAGAATGCCTTCTTAAATGAACAGTGCAAAGAAATAGAAGAAAACAATAGAATAGGGAGGACCAGAGATCTCTTCAAGAAAATTGGAGATATGAAGGGAACATTTCATGCAAAGATGGGCAGGATAAAGGACCAAAATGGCCAGGACCTAACAGAGGCAGGAGAGATTAAGAAGAGGTGGCAAGATTACACAGAGGAACTATACAAGAAAGAGCTTAACGTCCCTGATAACCACGATGGGTTGGTCACTGACCTGGAGCCAGACATCCTGGAATGTGAAGTCAAATGGGCCTTAGGAAGTCTGAGCAACAACAAAGCTAGTGGAGGGGACAGTATTCCAGCTGAGCTATTCAAAATCTTAAAAGAAGATGCAGTAAAAGTGCTACACTCAATATGCCAGCAAATTTGGAAAACTCAGCAGTGGCCACAGGATTGGAAAAGGTCAGTTTACATTCCCATCCCAAAGAAGGGCAATGCCAAAGAGTGTTCGAACTACCGCACCATTGCACTCATTGCACATTCTAGCAAAGTGATGCTCAAAATCCTACAAGCTAGGCTCCAGCAGTATGTGGACCGAGAACTACAAGAAGTACAGGCAGGATTTCAAAGAGGGAGAGGAACTAGAGATCAAATTGCCAACATACGCTGGATCGTGGAGAAAGCTAGGGAGTTCCAGAAAAAGATCTACTTCTGCTTCATTGACTATGCTAAAGCCTTTGACTGTGTGGATCACAACCAATTGTGGCACGTTCTTAAAGAGACAGAAGTACCAGACCATCTTATTTGTCTCTTGAGAAACCTGTATGTGGGTCAAGAAGCAACAGTGAGAACTGGGCACGGAACCACTGATTGGTTCAAAATTGAGAAAGGAGTTCGGCAAGGCTGTATACTGTCGCCCTGCCTATTTAACTTATATGCAGAGCACATCATGAGAAAGGTGGGCCTAGATGAATCACCAGTTGCAATTAAGATTGCTGGGAGAAATATCAACAACCTCAGATATGCAGATGATACCACTCTCATGGCAGAAAGTGAAGAGGAACTAAAGAGCCTCTTGATGCGGGTGAAGGAGGAGAGTGCAAATGTTGGCTTGAAACTCAACATTAAGAAAACTAAGATCATGGCATCCGGTCCTCTCACTTCCTGGCAAATAGATGGGGAAGAAATGGAGGTAGTGACAGATGTTATTTTCCTGGGCTCCAAGGCTGCAGACAGGGACTGCAGCCAAGAAATTAAAAGACACTTGCTCCTTGGGAGGAAAGCTATGGCAAATCTAGAAAGCATACTAAAAAGCAGAGTCATCACCCTGCCAACAAAAGCGCATATAGTCAAGGCTATGTTTTTCCCAGTTGCAATGTACTGATGTGAAAGCTGGACTATAAGGAAGGCTGAGCGCCAAAGGGTTGAGGCCTTTGAATTGTGGTGCTGGAGGAGACTCCTGCGAGCCCCTTGGACCGCAAGGCGATCAAACCGGTCAGTCCTAGAGGAGATCAACCCTGACTGCTCTTTAGAAGGCCAGATGCTGAAAATGAAACTCAAGTACTCTGGCCACCTAATGAGAAGGAAGGACTCCCTGGAGAAGAGCCCGATGCTGGGAACAATAGATGGCAAAAGAAGAAGGGGACGGCAGAGGATGAGGTGGCTGGATGGAGTCACTGAGGCAGTCAGTGTGATCTTAAGTGGACTGTGGGGGATGGTGGAGGGCAGGAAGGCCTGGAGGAATGTTGTCCATGGGGTCGCAATGGGTCGGACATGACTTCGCGACTAACAACATTCCTGTTAGAAACATATTTTTCTATTTTGGACCCAAGTTATGAGAGTTTCTGGGTATCCTAAGAAAGGCTTCTCTACCTGCTCAGCCACTCAAATCCTCTCTGCTCATAGTGGCAGATTTCCCACTAATTAGTATTCCACCCCCACAACAAATAATATAGAAACTGAGCGAGCCAGAAGGGGCCTCCCATGCCATCTAGCCTGAGCCCCAGCTAACCAGCTTGTTCCTCTATAGCGCAGGCACTGGAATCATAGAGGAGTTGGAAGGGGCCATGAAGGCCATCTGGTCCACCCCCTGCGCTTGCAGGACACTAACTCACACCATCCCACTCAGAGGGCTGTCCAGGTTCTTTCTGAATGTCTCCAGTGTGGGAAGTTTCTGGCCCTCTAGATGTTTTGACTCCAGGCATCCCTTACCTGCTGATGGGAGCTCTGGACCAAAATACCTGGTGGCCCCAGGTTGCTCACCTCTGTTCCAGAGGCTGTCTTCGTGGGGTTAGAGGAGGAGGAGTGGCAGCAAGCGATCAATCAGAGAGCAGGATGCACTGCTGGCCTGCCTAACAAGGCTGTTGTGGCACAAAGAGCTGCTGCAGTGGCTTCTAAAAGCAATGAGGCAGCCATGCTCACCAGGGTCATTCGTCCAGGCCTCTATCGGACTGCCACTATTACTCACCTACGGGTGGGGCTACTGCTGAGGCTGGCTGAGACGCAGGGTCCACAGGAGGCAGTTCTGTGCTAGCCTGGCCTTTGCCCAGTTCCCCCTGGGGTACCAGCTTGGTGGGAGGCACAGAACTGGAGGCAGGGCCCGTCACGTTCCCAACTGCAGCGTCCGGGACCTGGAGCGTTAAAACATGCAAAAAGTGCAGAAACAGGACAGTGAGATGACAGGTCTGACCCTGAATGGCCCAAATCTATCAGCCAAATAACAAAAAGGCCCCAGATCCTTCTGCTCAAAATGCTCTCAATGCGCGCAAAGATCCCAGCTAACGGAAGCAGATGTTTCCAACAGCCCTCCTTCTCAAGTCCTGTTCCAGGCTGCTGGGAGCATTCCTCTAAGGCAGGAAAGATACACTACACTCCCATGCTGAAGGCCAGCTCGTGGATTTCGAATGGCAGAGGCCGGAAGATGTGCCTCCAGGCCGCCCGGAGGACAAGCAGTCCAGTGAATGCAAGTCTTAATATGGTGCTGGTGCTTGCCAAACCTCTTGCTCTTTGGGGTTGGTGCAAAGGATTTGCGCCAAGGCCGGGCTGATGCCCAGTTCTCACCTGCGGCTGTGCCAGCACCGGCCTCGATGGCGAGCGGGCGCTTGGCGGCTGGGCTCACCTGGGGTGTGGCCAGCAGCAGCTGCTCTTCCAGCTGGGGCTGGATGGCTCCCACGGTGGCCTGGCTGAGGGTGGTGACTCGGCTGGCCTGTCCCCGCAAGGTCACTGTGATGGTGGTTGGGGCCTTTAAGCCTGGCGGAGAGGAAAGAGAAGTCACACGCACACCCTGGGTTGCCCTGGAACACGCATTCTGTCGCAGCCAGCAGATGTCCTTGCCCAGGAAGAGCCCTCAAGGCGGGACTCTGGCCCAGATGTGTGTGCGAAGGCACGGATTCAGGCAGGCCCCTGCCAATGCGCCTCATCATGCGCCAACCTCTCCTCAGTGAGGCTGTTGAGCAGGGAGGCCAACTCTCGTCACCTCGTGCCGTCACTGCTGAATGTGCCAGTGCAAGCTTCCCAGTGGAGAAGTGCCCCCTGCCCCCCCCCGTGTGTGCCACAATGTGGCCTGTGCCTGGGGGTGGGGGTGCGGGTGGGGGTGCTCTCGGATTGCCTCGTTCTCCCACGGCCACTGGCAACATGACCTCTGCACACCCGCGGGGCCTGTCCGAGGAGGCGAGACGAGCTCCCCGGAGCGCGGCCTGCGCCTCCCGCCCCCACAGCCGGGCTCCTACCTGCCCCCTGGCCGGAGATATGAGCCAAGCCGGGAAGGCTGCTCGCCAGCTTTGCCAGTCCCCCGTTTGTGAGCAGCTGGTGAATGGCGGAGGGCTTGGTGCCAGCCGCGGCGCCAAGCGAGGACAAGGATGTGGCCACCGGGATTGTACGGACGATGGTGCCTGCACTGGTGGTGATGAGAGGCGCTGGGGTCTTCAAGGCTGAGCTCTGCACCGTGGGAAAGAGGAACGGGTTGCAACGACAAGCCAAGGACACCCTTGCTCGGCGTGAGGGCTGGCGCATTTCCTTCCATCCTATTAAGACTGCCGAGCATCGCAAGCAAGGTTACAGTTGCCCAGCTGAGCCCCTCCAACAACTGGAGGGCAGGAGGGCTCTGTGCAGACACCGAGCAGAAGACGCAGAAAAAGTCACTGCACGGAGTGAGGAGAAGACAGCCCTCCGGAGGGCCTGCTCTTCAGATGGCCCAGCTTTGAAATCCCCCAGCCAACACCTCCTCTCCAACTTCATAGACTGTTTTCCAGCTGGTCAAATTTGCATGGCCAGCCTCTAAAGGTGCCCCTTTAGTTTTCTGACTGTTCCATCCTTGTGGCCAGCCCACTGAGGTTTCCAAGGGGAGCCAGGAACCAGCCACGGGGAGGCAGCTGTGGCTTGCACAGAGCACCGACCCGCTTCCCCGGCTGCTCCTTGCCAGGCACATACATGGTCTGCTACAACCTGGGCCTCCGTGCTGGGTGCAGGCTCTATTTCCCCCTCGCTGCAGGTCAGGATCCGCAGAACACGAGCCGCGCTGCCTACCTGCACCAAAGGCCCTGTGGGAGCAACGCTTACTGGAAGAGCTGCCGGCTTGCTGCCGATGTCCTGCAGGCTGAAGCTCAAGCCTTGCAACAGGCTGCTCGCCGAGGCCGTTCCTAAAGAGAAGCAGAGAGAGGGAGCCCTTGCTTTGCCTCTGTCGGGAAGCAGGACTGACTGCCGCCTTAAGTGATCACTTCAAGAGCAGCTTTGGACTGACAATCCTGGCCGGCCAGCCATCAGGACCACAAGCTGAAGCCTTGTGAAGCGATCCAAAAAGGCAAGAGCTCCTAAGAGGGCAGACGTGCCTGAGGCCAAGGACCACGAGCAGTGTGCCAAAGCTAAGCGCCTCCCGGGACCATGCAGTCCCATCGATGCCAAGCCCCGGCTCGACTCCACGCACCATCCCCTCCGCTATGGAGAAGGGATCCGATGGGACTCCAGTACTGACACACCAAGTCCTCCAGCTCCCTCCTTCTCGGAGAGCGAGCTCCAGGACCCTCATGCCACTACCAGAGGGCACACCATCAGCTGCCTCAGAACTGAGGTGGGCCACCTCAGCGCCAGCGATCCTGTGTGAAGACATACGCATGAGCCCAGTCACCACAGATACTGGCCACGTTTGCTGCTCTTGGACCAGGGCCGAAGGGCAGACTGGCCACCAGCCCCCCACCCAGGAGGGAACAGGACTCTTGGGACCTCTGCTGGGAACACTGGGTGGCCTAGGTCTCCTGATGCCAGGAGGGACCCTACCGAGCCCAGCCCACTCTGGCCAAGACCGCACACGCTGGGAGACGCAGCAACACCGTGAGTGAGGTCCTGCTGAGAGTCTGTGCTTGGCCCAGAGTCCCCGAGAGACCTTTAGGGCTTCATGGAGACGAGAAGCCAGGTCGCTGGAGTCCCCAGCCCAACACTCCAGCCACTGTGTCACACCAGCTCTCCCTCCCTGTCCCTCCGTCCCTGCTGGCCACCCTGGAAGCACGGCATGCTGAGCTTTTGTAGGAGAAGCACCTCGCGTCTGACCCCTTCCCGTGGGGCACCCGATCAGCAGTTACCTTGGGGCGTGTTGACAGGCGGCGCCTGTGCCGCGTGTGTTCCACTGGCCGCCAGCCGGTTCTGAAGCGTGTGGAAAGCGCTCGGGCCTGTGCTGCCGGGCACTGCAGCCGACGGAGCGGGGCTGATGGGGGGCGTCTCCGCTGCAGAGCTCGGTCTAGAACAACGTGCACATGCGGGACACGAGCAGGGGCTTTGCCCCAGGGCCCCCGACAGGGCCCCCGACAGGGCCCCCGACAGGGCCCCCGACAGGGCCCACACGCACGCCCGAGCCCGGGCAAGAGGGAACGGCACAGCTGCTCCTGCACCCAGCAAGCCTGCTTCCCCTTGGAGCACACGGGCTGCTGCTGGGCATGCAGCTCTAGACCCGCCTGTCTCTGGCTCGCCCTTTTGGGATCCCCAAGCCGCAGGCGAGCTCAGGCCTGCTTCAGCAACTGGTATGCCGGGGCACGTGCATGTGAAAGCTTTAAGCAAACAAATATGATTGCCCTGCAGGTTTCTGTAGAACCTTCAGGTTTTTTGGGAGGTGGTTTTTAAAACTGCACCGGGGGAAAGGAGGCAACCAACTCACAGAGCCTGGCAGATACTCACTTTGGGGTGGCAAGCAGTCCCGAGGTCTCCTTTGCACCTGCCACAGCCTGTCCCAAAGTCGCAGCAAGAGGCTTCCCTGCAGCAACTGGAAAACGAAAGAAGAGGAATCCATCAGGCTCTCCTCTGGCCGACTTGCATAAGCCCCTCTCTAGCAGCCACGCATCTGAAGGATTGGGTAAAAAGGTTAGGTATCAATCTTTACAAGTCTGCAAGATGACATTGCATGAATGATTTAAGAGACACCATGAGAGTGTGCAACTCAGCAGGCGCATAAGATTAAACAGTGCAACAGATTCTGGTGGGTAAGAGGATTAGCCCAACTCAGCCACAGTCTCCAGAGTGCTGGCAACTCAGTCCTGCGTTCCTGTTTCCATGTTTTGTACCTTTGCTTGCTACCCCAGCCAATCATTCAGAGCAGGACTTGTCTTAATGCATCTGCTGTAGTCAGCACTCTCCTAACCCATTTATAAAATACACAGGAACTGAAATGAGTTAAAATTATGCGTTTATTGCAGTATTTTGGATACAAATGAAAATCTGTCTTGCATATTCCTCCTGTCCATATATCATAAGAGGGAATTCTTGTTTTGTTCAAGTTTACTTCTGTATTTCATTATTTTCTGTGGAAAAAAATAAATTTTGGATAATCAAAGAAAAGGAAACAGACTTTCAAAGCTGAGAAATTTGGTTTCAGTGATTAAATACAGCTTAGTTAATTTGGACACTAAAAAAAACCTACTGTTGAATCAAGCAAGGAAGATTTATGTAAGTATAACATTTTGCAGCTTTGGAAGTCTTCATGACTCAGCGTATGCAGACGGGTTCGTCTAGTCCGCACCCACATGCAGGACTGTTGTTGAAGAGTGGCACTAACAGCTTAGTTTGCCTTCGGCTCCGGCGTCCTCGTGGCTCCGCACAGTGATTGGCTCACCTAGTTCACAATTATCTTGGGTCCTAGCATGAACCACTGGACAGTCTACCAAGAATCTGTGTGGTGCCCTCGTCTGGCACAGAGCGTACCACCACATCCCATTTTTAGTCCCGTCCTTGTAACTCATGATGTGTGCCCCCATTTCGGGAGCTGTGACCATTCCCAGCATCAACGAACCCAGCTGCTGCACCCAAACATGCTGTGCATGTACCCCACCGTGGGTGAACGGACCTTTAAAAGGACACCAACCAACATTCTTGCTTGCGTCACGTGGAGCGTAAGAAAACCATGTATAAGTACATCTAACATAGCAGACCACGAGAACATCACCATTATGGCCGCATCTGGAAACAAGCGGTGCTGAAATGCCTGGAAATTATCTGACAACAACGAGCATCAGAGGCCCAAGAACTGCCTATTCTTCTTGGGAGTTCCAGATCTCGGATGGAAGCTCGCTCGCTCGCTCGCTCTCGCGCTCTCTCGCTCACTCTCGCTCTCTCGCGCTCTCTCGCTCGCTCTCGCTCTCTCGCGCTCTCTCGCTCGCTCCCCCTCTCTCCCCCTCCCCCTCTCTCCCCCTCCCCGCCCCCTGTAAAGTCTCCAGCCTGCTGGCTTTAAGAAAGCCAACATGGGAGCCAAAGCGCACGGAAGTACTGAAGAGGCATATTATGAAAAACTGAGCAAGTCTTAGAAAGCCCCAGGCATGTCCCTTGAAGCCATCTTCTGCCTCCCATCAACTGGATCTGTCTGGGGGATGGCAGCATGAGGAATACAAAATAAGTTTGCAACCTGCTCCCCGCATCATGGCAAGACTAAGAGGCAGCTCTTGAAGTGTCATGTAGCATATGCTGAAGGCTCTCTGGGGGCTCAGTTTCACTCTTTACCCCCTCCCTGAGTGCTGCAACTATGCAGCAGCATCTTCAATGGGGATCCATGAGAGATTCTGTTTTGTGAACGTTTACACCATTTGTTATCCAGTTCTTGCAAGGAACGCCATGTAGCTGAGTTCACAGAACGCCTCTCGGCAACAGAACTGGAATCTAATGTGTTAAGGTTCCCTTTCCAAAGTAGGCCGTACTTCTACGAAAGACAGGAAATGCAAGGCGCGCTATTGAGAAATTTAGAGCTGTACCTAGGAGTCACTCACAAGGCATACCATTCCGTCAGCCTCTGGAACCAAGAGAGCGGTCAAATTGTGGCAGGCCAGTGATGGGGTTTCAGGCCCTAGCTTTGCAGTGCACAGCTAGCAGAAGAAACCCTCGGCCCTCCAGCCTCACCCAAGCCTCATCCCGCTGAAATACAATGCATCGCACGCCAGGCTCTTACATGCCCTGCTTCCTCCTCCTATCTCCTGCCTACCGCCTGGGCTTCACACGCTCGCTCCAGTTCCCAAGACTCACTTTCCGACGGCACGTCCAGCGGTGCTCCGTTCCCCGTGCCGGCAGCTTCCCCGTGGGAGACAATGGTCACCTTGATTTTAGCTCGCTTGGAAGCCTTGCTGCAGTGAGTTGGGCTGGGGGCCTGGTGCCTCTTCAGCTGTAGTCGCAGCTCTTCCTTCTCCCCTGCATCCTGCTGCTGTTCTGAAGAGACTGAAACCAGATGAGAAAGGGCAGCTTACTTGGAATGGAGAGCGCAGCGCGGCTCCCCACCAGAAGAGAGTCAGCACAAACTCGGACATGTGCAGCTTACAGCATGCTGCCCTGAGCAAACCGCGCGGCCTCTCACTTCTCAAGCTCTAGGAGCGCTTCTCCATCCTCAGCACTCCTGCAGTCGCCAGCTAGTCAAGCAGTCACTGCCATGAAAAATACATTCTTCTTCAGTGTCCTTCCAATAGCAGAATTGTGGGGTGTGATTAGGGAGGGAGGGATTCTGTGTGATATGGGGCAATCGGCTCATGCAGGGGACAGGAGCCGGAGAGGCAGTACAGGCTTCGTTGCAAGGGAGACAGACTTCATTTCACAACACAAACGTGGTTTTTAATGTAATTATACTTGTACTTAACTCAGTGTGAATTGCTGAGTGTTGTAGCCAAATCCTAACGATTTCTACTTGGAATGAAGTCTTAGAATTTCAGAATGATCTATGTGTGAGTAAACATGGCCAGGGATCAGCTGTTAAGTCTTTGTCTCCGAATATCCATCACCTCGAAGTATATGAAGCAGAAGCGCTTTTCTTACATTCGTACTGCAAGTTCAGGGTTAGAAACAAAGGCGCAGTGTGTTCTAAAACGACACCCTGAACAGAAGCCTGAGCTCCCTCCCCAGCCAGTCTGAACAGCTTCAGCATCTCATTTCTCAGGGAACCAGTCCAGGGAATTTACAAGAACCAACAGCTTTCACTACGTCCTGCACTGTGCATCAGGGAAAGCCTCATGCTATCAACCTGTGGAAGGAAATGGCATTAGGGCTGCACTGAAATCCATAGAAGTGACCATACGGTAAAACAGCATTTTTAAAAATCACCTGTTGGTGGTAAAAAGTTCTGTAACACTCAATTGTGCTAAAAGGATTTCATTTAGTAAATCTGCAAGCCAAATGAAACCCTTTTTCTATTCTGTAGCTGCTCCAGAGCCCCATTTTGATTCTAACAAATATGTATTTTGGGGGTACAGCAGGGAGAGCGGGGGCCCTCCTTGCTTTTAAACTAAAGCAGCAAAAGGAAAAATTACTTGGTATTGAGAAAACATAGCCTGCATCTACTTAAAAGGCATAACAGAAGATCCACCTTCCAGCGAGAGTACTCAGAAACACATCCTTTAAAAGCCAAGGAACAGAAACAGGAAGGGTTTCACACACGAGCAGCCTGTGCCCAGAAATCTGTGTGTAAACCTGAAGTACGCCCCTCGAAACAATAAGTACGCCCCTCGAAACAATGAGTAAACTACACACAAGCATCCCTGCAAGAGATCCTCCATTACTCTGCTTGTATTAAATCAAACGCCAAGAGAAGCTGGACCGTGTGAGGCTCCGGCAGGCATGCCCCTGCCTCGCTCGGTGTGGGTCTGATAAAGGGTTCTGGAGGCTGGCTTGGTGGCAGCTACAAGCGCACGTTCTCCCTCTTGCGGAAGCAGCCTGTCCAATTCTCTTTTTCCACCTGCCCTTCCCAACACACTTCCTGTGCTGCCCGGTTTTGTGCCTCCTTCTTCCCCCACCCAACCTCTCCTGCTTCCTCAGGGACAACTGCTGAGTGAAATAGCCCTAAATCTTGTAGGAGGCCAGAAGACTCAGGCATTCCTTCCAGCCTCTCGGGAGTCTTTCACGGTTCGAGGCTGGTTCATACATAAAGCCTGGATGACAGAGAAACTACAGTAGAGCACAAGGATTTGGGGGGGGGGGCACTCCATTTCGTGGCAGCCTGTGGCCACTTGGCTTAATGGAACAGAGTTCGAGTGCAGCCTGCCCTGACTTTTAAGGCATCCTGTTGCTTTGCGGGACATGCAGCCTTTCCCATCACTCTGGTAACTGCTGCCGCATGGAGAATGCGAATGCTGTTATGGGACCACGTTTTATGCCGAGACGGGAAGAGCCTGGTTAGCCAGGCTTGTTAATGACGACTGTCAAGCAATGAGTAAAAACATTTCTGTGTCTTCAGGCTGCTGAAGAACATGAGGACGAGGTACGTTCGAGGCCTCCTTGTGGCCGTACAGCACAGCCTTGCTTTCTGTGGTGAACAAGCCACTGTCGGTATCCAGGTGCTGGTACTGCACTCTGCCCGGAAGATTATGGGGTGGCTCTGGGCCAGCCAGTGACTCTCAGCCTAACCTACCTCACGGGACTGCTGTGAGGGGAACATGGAGAGGATCGGGGAAGCTGCAAAAAAGCAGGCTATGAAATAAAAAGTAAAGCAGTAAAAGAGTTGACAATACAGCAAACTTTATTTTCATAGCAGGAGTTAGGAGAGAGGCCTCTTACGCTCCCCTAACTCTCGAAGTCTTTTTGAGTGTCGTTCATGCTCATTTTGCTCAGTGGTGTGAACCCTCCTGCCGTGACGGGGCCGAACGTGTCTCCCCACCACTGGCAACTGCTGCAGCTCCTGCTCACTCCAACAGAACTGTCAGGGCGGCTGGTTCCAAAGCCAGCACCTCAAAGTGCACGCGGAGGAAGCAAGCTTCTCCCTCACACACTGGCCCACGGCATCCACCCGGCAGCCGCACCTGGCCATATGGGCACGACCGGGACTGAGCTCTGGCGCACCGGGGAGCCTGCCCTGTGGGGCCACGGACAGGGATGCCACAGGCTGGGCATGGCCTGCCCCCGGTGTCCAGACTTGCTGCTTCGTGGCAGAGCTGCCCCTGGAAGGACAGGTGACGGACAGTCGTGCTGCTGCGCCCAGGACTCCCAGCCGACGGGCAAGCACTGCGAGCCGCTAGTGGCCCGTGGCCGCAGGAACGGGCGTGGGGAGCGAGTGGGAAGGGCGGGGGGCCGCGCAACAGGCCCTGTGCCTGCCACTGATGGGTAGGAAAAGCTGCTCAGAAGCGTGCACTGGACCCTCTACGTGCCAGGGAAGGAGTGCCAAAAGTGTGTGTGTGGGCGGGGGGCGGGGGGGCTCACGTGCCGCACGTGCATGTCCAGCAGCAGCTGCTCTCGGTTGCAGCTGCAGCAGTGCAAGAGGTGGAGGGAGGGGATGATGCAGGCAGAGAGGTGGCAGAGGCAGCAAGTGAGGAGATACTCACCCAAGAGACATGAAGCGGTGCCAGGAGGAAGAGATTTCCTCACCAGCATGTTTTGTTTCAGAAAGGCGGCAAACTGAGCTGAAATGAATCAGAGAGAATTACAGCATCGCAGCTCACGCTTGGGGGGGGGCAGGTGCCCTCCTACCCACCAGGACCAGAGAAATTCTGCACCGGGCTGGCAAGCAGATTCGGCGGGGATCTGTCGCTCGCCTGGCCGCAGGGTGTCGCCGCCCCCCCACCCCATACCCCACGCCCCGGCCAGAAACACGGAGTCATCTGCAAGGGTGATGGCTGCGCGACAGCCGTCATAGGATGGCACATGCAGGCTCCCGAGCTCGTTCAGGCAGACTCAAGGCGGTCACACTGGAGCAGAGTCACCAACACAAGGATTTTCCGTCAGCGTGGGAAACGGCGAGCGAACCGCGAGATGCTTGGAACAAACACATGCGACGCACGAGCCAGCCAGGAGCCGTGCCTGCCTGCCTGCCCGCCTTCGTTTGGGATTAACGCAGCATCTGCTCCACAGCCCTCGGGAAACTGGGCCTCGCAGGACTGAGCCGGCTGGCTTGGTGAAGCCCTGCTTCACGTGCTTCGCTGCCTGAGAGAGGCCTCCCGCCACAGGGAAGGGCGGGCGCACGGCCGCATGGGCACCCGCGTTCTACGTCCCCTGCACACGACTGCTGGGACCGGCACGCGCCATTTCAGAACAACGAAGGCGGAGCCGAATGGGGGGGGCAGTGCACACAGCCGCGCTCCTCAAGGTGTGGTGGTGCCCCTGCAACTGGGGCCTCTGCCCGAGCCTCAGGCTGGTTCTGGCACGTGCACCGGATCCTCCAACCCTTGGTCTCCACGTGAGGCCGGGGGCAGGGCATGGGAACACTCCAAGCATTTGCCTCCGCGGCCTCATGCAGCGGAGCACGCAGACTGGGCGCTCCGAGAAAAGCCAGCCACTGGCCAAGCCGTGCCGGCAGCTCCCGGCTCTGCTGTGCCCTCCGGTGCCTGCCCAGGACCTCTGTTGGTCAGGCGGCCACCGTGACAGGGCGACTGCGAGTGGCCCTGCTGAGGACGCGGGCAGCCGCCTTCTGCCCAGCCACGCTGACGGTCGCTCGGCACGGGGCCTCTTGCCTGCTCCAACTGGCAACCGCTTCCCAGAGGCGCAGAAGACCTGCCCAGCCCCATGGCCCTGAGCCTGAGCCTGAGCCTGGGACCGCCCAGGCAGCACTCCCTGCCACGCCCGGGCCTCCTGCCTTTCCCCTCGGTTCGAGCTCCCCCATTTCCACCAAGAGCCCCCCCCCGGCACTCGTGCACTGGCCTTCTCAGTGCACGTCCCTCCCTGGGGAGGCCATGAAGGGCCAAGCTGTCGGAGCTGCTGTGGCAGGGCGAGCGTGGCCACGGCTGGCCTGTGGCCGAGGCCGATGGTCACAGCAGCCCATCCCAGGCAGGGAAGCCCAGTCAGGTCCCCCGAGGCAGGGAGCCAGCTGTCCTGTTCAACTGCAGTGCCCCCCAGGCTGAGGCAAGCAGACCCCCTCCCACAAAGACCACGCCCGGGTCTTTGAGAGCCCCCGTCACGCTGGCAGCACACATCTGGCCTGGCCCAGTCGACACCGGCGGGCAGCAGCTCTCCAGGGCTCCCGGCGGGAGCTTTTCCAGCCCTGCCCGGTGATGCGGGGATCGAGCCCAGGGCTGCCCCACGCACGGCGGGGCTAAGCAGCAGCTGCTCCCCACAATCTGCTGATGAAACGGCACCGGGTGCACCCTTTCCTTCACAGACCGAGCCACAAACCGGTGAATGCCCAGGCAAACTGCCCTGTCCCTCCCGGTGGAGCCTGCTGCCGCTCCAGCACGTCTTCCCACATACGAGTCAGTCCCGCACCGCCGAGGGGAGTGGCGCACGTGACACTCTATGAGAGACGCAAGCATCGGCGAGAGAGTGCGGAGCAAAGCAGAGGCTGCCGAGACACAGGCTCCCCCGCCCGGGGGGCTTCGGTTTCGGTGCCAGTGTGCTCGGTCTCCCACCCCCTCGGCCGGAGGAGTGTGGGGGCAGGGATGCTACTCCGACGGGCTGGAGGGGACGAACGGCGTAAGCAGGAGCTCTGCTCGGGGCACGGCCCCAACGGAAACATGCGTCGGCCAGCTGGCCAGCACCTCGCCGGTGCGGAGCAGAAAGCAAGCAGGGTGGGCTACCTTGGGAGTGCCTCTGGGCCACGGCCACTTCCGATCGCTGCACAGGCCTCTTCAGCGGCTGGGGAGCCCCAGGCTGGCTGGATTTCAGCACTGCGGACACCGCAGCGACTTTGGCCTTGGGACTGGAGGTGGGGCTGCTGGACACGCTGGACAGATCCTGCCCAAAGGAAGGAAAGCCCCCAGCAGGGCGAGACCGCTCAGCACCCTGGAGGCACAGCCTGCCGCCCGCGATGGAAGAAGAGGGCAGACCATGCTCCGCCGTCCCCCCGCAAGCCCCAGCTGCATGACGGGCCCCTTTCCTCCTCTGGAGAGGCCATGCCTGCCTGAGGACAGTGGGGAACACAGCACGAGCCCTGCCAGACCAGCCCCAGCCCAGCCAGCGCTGACAGGACACCCTGCAACCTCCCCTTCCCCCGGGACTGTCCTCACCTCTGACCCAGAGGGCGAGGCGGGGACCTTGGCCGCAGGGGACGTGGGCCGGCTGCTCCGCTCCGGCATGTCAAAGGACAGGTCCTTCCTGGCCAAGTCCCGCGTGGTCTTCTTCTTCTTCTCGGCATCAAGATCCCGCGGGTCGGGGCCCGGGTGGCTGTCTGCCCGGGTGAGTACTCCTGTCAGGAAGTCTGCGATTTCATCCTGCAGAGCAAACCACACACAGCGAGGCTTTTACCCCCGCGCCCCCCCGTGAGCAGCCGAGCTCAGACTCCTTTCCAGAGCAAGCAAGACGACCGCTACTCCTGGCACTTCCGCAAACTCTCCCTCTTGCTTACGATCCCCATTTCCAGCCCAGGAAACCCTCTCCTGCTGAGACCGATCCAGGCCGATGTGCCCCAATTCTGCTAGGAAGCAGCAGAAAAGAGGCACGTGCTTGTGCATGGGGGAAGGGGGTGGCTATTTACCTGTATGCACCTGTCCACCATACTCTGAGTCAGGCCTTCTGACTTCTTTTTGGCTTTGCTTATCCTGTGAAAACAGACAGCCTGTCAAACATGTTCATCCCTCTTCCTCCTCCTTCTCGCCCCTTCCATCCCTTCTTGTTTTCTGGATAATTCTCCTTCTGAAAGCTCATAGAGGTGCAAGAAATCAGGACATCTCATGAACCAGCTAGAAGGCCGCCTTTTTTTCTAGGAACCAAGCACCAAGTCCTCCTTATTTAAGTCGGTGGTAACTGACAGGATGCAATGTTTTGTAGGACAGTATCTTGTTCACTACGAATTTCGAGTTCTGATGTTCAAACTGACTTCTGCACCATGTGCCCCTAATTCTCTGGGGTGTTCTCCCTTCCTCACTTTTTCTTCAGAACTGTGATGGACATCAATTAGGAGGCAAAGCTGTGCAAACAGAAGGCTCCTGGCTCAGTCCCCATAAAGCACGCGAGATTAAAGGAATACAGCGACCTGGACCGGTGGGCTGGCTCCAGGAAGGGCAGCTGAGGTGGGGGGGGGGCGCACGTGAAGGGGAACGTGCGCAGTGCTGCACCAAGGCAGCCCCCATCTTCCTTTCCTAATGGAGCCGTTTGAGCCCGGGAACGCTCTTGCCATGCCCAAACATACCTGAGGTTATCATCAGCGCCTCCAACGACCACAAGGCTGTTTTCAGCGCGAAGCTTCTCCCGGAAATCTTCCATGGCTTCACTGTTACACTGGAGGGAGTTCTGGCCGATCACGAAGAGAACTGGAGTCTTCATGTCCAAAAGGGGGTCATCAACATCCTGCCCACCAAAACAACGCATCTGGCTTTGACTTTTCTCAACGTTTTGGAAGGTGCCAAGAGGGTGCACCTTCTCTGCTGTAGCTGGCAGGCGGCACAAGCCTGTCTTTAGATGGGGATGTCCATTTTTAGCAGCGCCCGCTGCAACGTGCGCCTAGTCTGCGGCTGGCTCTTTTATTATTTGCAGAGGGTCAATACCCACAATTGCAACTGGAAGCAGAAGCCTGGCCAGCAGAACATCCGCCCCTCTATGCCACGGCAAGGCCAGCTTCTTAGCGCACCGTCCTCATCTGCTCTCACTCATTGCTCCTTACCCCTCTGGGACCGTCCACGGTTAAGAGAGGAAATCCAAGGCAGACCACTGCAGTGACGTCCTCCATCACGGAAACCTAGAAAGGGACAGAGGAGGCCTGCTTTCCGAAACTGCACGCCAGCGTGGCTCAAGGGCAGCACTGCAGATCCAGGCCTGAGAGCGGCAACTGGAGTAGCCTTGATTCTATTTTACTTGTTTTTGTTATTTCCGTGTACCAGAGAGTACCTTTTCTGAGGAAGGAATCCACTGGAACCAAGATGAAGAGCAGGGATTGCTTTAAGCCTCAATTCCCAGCTTAGATGAGGGCCACCCAATCTGGCACCAGAACTTCACTGTTGTCCTCCAGGAAGTGCAAGCATCATATTCTTTCCATGTGCATTCTTTTTATTTGTTCCCTCAATCCCTCAGAAATGTCTGAACATTGGGAATTGTCTCCTAATGGACCAATTCCCTCATGCATACGTTCTGAACTATTAAAAATGCACATTTCTTCATGAACAGAAAAATGATCCAAAAGCAGCTGCTTCTTACTTAATACAGTGGGACCTTGGCTCACGAACTTAATCCGTTTCAGGACTCTGGTCGAGACCCAAATTGGTCATGAGCCAAGTTAAAATTCCCCATAAGGTTCAATGTAAATAAGGTTAATCCATTCTGTAACTATTTTTTTAATCAGAAAAATGGGAAGCAAAGTGACAACAACAAAGATCGCAGCCATCTCCCCACCACCACCCCAAGCACAAGTGCGGCCATCTCCTCACACCCGTCATCCCTGCACCTGCCTGTCATCCTGGCACGTTCGGGGGGGGGGGCGGGACAGGCGCGAGCGTGGGCACGCTGGGAGGGAGATGGGTGCGATTGTGCTGGGCGGGAGAGACGGCCACGATCACAGTTGTGCTCGTGCAGGAAAGACGGGCACGATCTCGGGCACCACTCAATGCGGAGTTCATGACCTAAATCCATTTTTTAATGAAATTTTTGTTTGCAACCCGTTTTGGTCATGAACTGAGGCGTTTGTGAGCCGAGGTACCACTGTATTGTATTACAAAAGCATCAATGTCACCAGAAAACCTCAGAGTAAAAGAAACGATCAAGCATTTTGTTAGCAATTTACAGATTTTTTAATCTGCCCTGTCTTTGACAATGCAAAACATTAATTGCTTCCACTGTGAAACTGTGAACTGCACACAGCAAAGTTGCCCAAGTCATGCTCCCCCTGACCAGGAACTTCAGCCCAGTCCCAGAAGCTGCTCTCCAGATCATCCTGGCTCCCACATCAGGATCTTTGTCTTCCAAGAGGTGGGCAAAGCCAGAGAGTGAGCTGCAATTAAGACCGTGTAGTACAGGGGTGGGCAACCCAGCACATGCAGCCCTTGGGGCCTTCCCTGCAGCCTGCAGGTGCCCCCCTCACGCCCCTGCCGGTGCCTGCGGTACCTTTTGACCTCCGTCTGGAACCTTAAAAAGAGACATTCTGTTGCTCTAGCCTACTGAACATGATGGTTTTCCCCTCAAAAGTAGCATTATTGTGGGAAACGGTACAGTACAGAAGATGAGCGCTATTTTTGATGGTCTAGCCCATTGCCCTCCATAGTTTTGCTCTCCAGAAAACTTGGGAAGCCGTGAAAATGAGCTGTCAAGGCAAGGCTGTGCCTTACTTACATGGCAGGCCACCAAGGCTCCTGTGTTCCAGCCAATCAGGATTACTGGCTTGTGGGAGAAATGGTTGTGGATCTGGGCGAGAAAGAAAAGGCAGGCATTTGCAGCCCATCGGTTATAAGCCCGGGACCACCATGAGCCATGCAAGCCCAGCCGAAGGGAACGGATTGGGGTTTGCAGGCCAAAGGGAAGCTCACCTGCACTCGGGCTGAGCGTCCCAGTGAGCAATCTAGCCATACCTCGAGTACCTTGCCTCTCACGGCCCCAATCATGTGTTCCAGGCACTGTAACACTCCAACTCCACTGCCGTTATTCATTAAATGGGGAGCCACCGGAATCACCTGGGAGAGAAATGGAAGAGAAGCCCAGTGGACTCAACGATGGTCGCTCTACCAGGGCCCAGTGTATACGGACCCTGGCAGTCCCAGCTGAGCATTTCACCTGGGAGCACTAACACAAGGAGCCAGGGCTCTGTGGCCTGGAAATTTCGCATCTTAGACAACTGCCACTTATACCACCTCACATGCTGCTCCTTTCCAGGGTCTCGGGCTTCCTTGCCACACCCCCCTCTACCTCCAGCCTTATGCTCAATATAAGCTCCTCCTGCACACGGACTCCGGAAGCTGAGACTCACCAAGCTGCCCAGGGCCCTGCGTAACTCTTCTGTCATGCGTCCCTGGCCTCTGCCTGTACAAATGGTCGTTCCGCACTTGCGCTCAGTCAAGCCAAACCCAAGAAGGGAACAGGATGGAGGAGGCGGCGGCCAGTGGCCACTAGTCTGGCTGGCTAGGCGCTCCCTCAGAAGCCTGGGCTGGAGAGTCTTGCACCCATCCTGCTGGAGGGATCCTGTGGGCAGCTGGTTTGCCACTCTGAACAGAGCGCTGGAGGGATGGACCTGGGCCTTTGTATGCTCCAACAGAGCCCCAAGCAGATTCCTGTGATTCTGCTAAGGGCAGAGCCAGTGCATGTGCTGGGACTGAGAAGAGCCACCCGCAGAAGAGAGCTCAGCAGTGCAGTCACACAAACCTTTCCCAAGCAAGAGAGCTGGGACTGCCAGAACCGGTGCCGGCGACAAGCGGGGAATGCGGAGCTGGAGGGCCCAGAAGATGCCAGCAGGATAAGTGGCGAGCCGGGCAACTTACCCTTGAAAGGGAAAGAAACACATGTGGACAAAATATTGAGCACGAACCAGCTCTTCTTTCCTTTTACAGGCAAGGCATAGACCAGGTACGAAACGAACCCCCAAGTCTCTGCTCCTCCAGAGAGTCACCATGCGCTTACCGGTTTGTTATGTGAAAGGACACCGACGGCTGGATCCCACGGCCTCTTCAGCAGGAGGGAAAGAGCCTCAGCACCTGCTGCTCCCGTCCTTGTTGTGGACGACAACAACATCCGATCGATCAGGCTGGGAATCTGAAATCCGGTGACAAATACATTATGGGACTTCCTAACTCATTTGTCTGCTCTGCACAGCGCTGCCATCAATGTCTCTTGTCCTCCAGTCGTATTTGCACATGGTTTGTATGCACTGCTCGTTACAACTACAGAAAGAGATGCCTCCTTGGGCTCAAGTGGAAGAGCCCATCTCCACCGATGCCTGCTGGGCAGAAGAGGACACTGTTTCCTTAGCGTTCAGGCAATGCACCTGTACTTATCAACTGAAGCATAACCTAAACTGCAGCACGGCTCAACGTGCCGCATCAGCCTACAGGGAAGGCAGTGTCGCTTTCTGCCATGCCGTCAAAGAGGAGATGCTTTCCCTCACAGAAGCAGCACGGCAAGGAGAGCCGCAAGGAAGCAAACCAAAACGCGCGTCTGCTCATCACCTTTCCCTTGAGAGTCTGCAAAGCATCCAGGTAGGCGGCCAGCATCGGCAAGCTGAGGGTCTCCACCAGAGTCGAGTGCAGCCACTGGATCAGCCTGGCGTCCCAGCTGATGCTGGCCAAAGCCTGACGGACCCGTCGAGCACATTTGTCCACCGCTATCCTTCTGAGCACCGGCTCATTGCAAGCCTGAAGAAAAACAAAGGAGACAAGCTCAAGGTGAAGAAGGCTGCACAGCAACGTGAGCCAGAGCTTGGAGCTCCAGAAGCCAGTTCTCAGATGTAGATGCTGAAGGCTTGGAACTTGGCTTGGGCCAAGGGAAGAATGAGGCACGGATGTGATTAAAAGTCTGGGCACACTCTGTTAGCACGCCTAGGAGCCCTGAAGTCAGCTAACGCAGGCTGAAGGAGAGAGGGCACGAGGAAGTCCTCACCCCTTCGTTGGCTAATCGAGCCAGTCTGTCAGACTGCAGGGCTTTGAGGATTTTATTGAACAGCTTGTTCTGGGCAACCGTCCAGCCAGACCTGCAAAGGAAAACAAAGAGAGCGGTTCAGTTTCCAAACAGCTGGAAGTACAGCTGGAGGAGCCCAGGCATGCCAGGCTCCCAAGGGTGGCACAGGTCAGAGGTGATGGACCGTCACTGTTTCTGCTTGTGGGAAGGTGGCCCAGTAAGCTTTGGGTTCACAAAGCTTGAGAACAAACTACTGCTCTGCTACCACAGCTTGAGCAAAGCAAACTCCCCAAGTTCTGACATGGAGAAATGTGTTCTCTAAGCACAGAAGCCCCACGTGTCTTCCTCTGGTGTATGAAAAGGAGGAGGAGGGCACATGTGCGTGCCAGACTCGCCAAGGTTTTTTCCTGCTGTGGGAAACAGCGGTCTCTCGTAATGCCTGAACCAGGCCTCGCCATCTGAGAGGGCTGATTGAATTGGGAGTTCTGCACTGAGCGGGGCGATGGGCCCTCTGGCCCCTTCCAACTCTACCGCTCCATGATTCCGTGCTTGCCCGCCATCCACTGTGATTCACCTATTTTGCTACATGTACACATACAAAACATGGGACAGGGAAAGTGGTGGCCCTGTGTGTGAGCCTTTGCTGATGGGAGAAGCCCCATCCTTCGAGAAGGGACTGACAGACGGACATGCCAGATAGATCATTCTTGTCCTTGCCTGGCTACCCTCAACAACCTTTATGCCATTTGCTCTATGGAGAGCTGGGGGGGTTGCTCAGTGCAGAAGCTCCATTACCAGAATCGGCGCCCTGCAATTCCATATCATAAGCTACACACAACTGAGCACAAGGGCAAGTCAGCAGAGCGCCAAGAGCAGACAGGAAGCACCAAGTTCCTAACTTGTGGTGGGAAATGTTTATAGTATACTGAATGGGAAAACATTACAACTTCATTTACATCATATAACTTTGAAAATGTGGCTCTGGATGTGTCTGTATACTTCATTGTGGAAGAACCATTACTATAGAATGGGACTTGGAATCCTTCATCATTTTAAACAATGTATTTTTGTAACCACAAAGCACATAAACATGCGCTTAAAGAATTGAATGTACAAGCAGTTAGGTTTTTCACCCTTCAGTACACCGTTTTTTGCTCTGTAGCACACAGTCATGCTCATTTTCAGGCCTTGCAAGCTCAGCGAGCATCCTGCAGTAAACAACCAAAATTCTAGACTCCTGCGTTCTACCAGATGCTTATTTAGTTCTTTGTCGATTCAAATTAATCTCTTCCAAATAAAAACAAGATTTTGGCACCTCAAAGACCACCACATTAATGGATTAGAGTTCACTTTTATGCTATAATAAAACTATCCATGTTTAAGATGCCACAAGATTCTTTTCTGGTTTGGTTTTCAGCTGCTTCTCTGAATATGATTTACCTAAGTCAGAATTTCCCTAGAAGCAAAAATGACAAAACTGAGGCTGCCATACTTTGAACATGTCATCAGAAGGCAAGACACACTGGAGAAGACCATCATGCTAGAGAGCATCAAAGGTGAAAAAAGGGAAGACCAAATATGAAACAGATTGATTCCATAAAAGAAGTCACAGCCTTGAATGTACAACAGCTAAATAATGATGGAATGAATAGGACATTTGCAGGGCGTTAATTTATACGGTCGTCATATGTCAGAGAAAACTTGGTAACACGTAACAACAACTTGCTTATATCATTAACTACGGTAGGCATATCATACAAATTTTATACAAATTAGTAGTGGTCCCCAAACTTTTGGGTGAGTGGGCACCTGACAGGGTTGGAACAGCTGGTAACAAAACCACAGAATGCAAAGTGGCATGAAAAGGAATTTAACTTGCTGAAGAACATGCAAAATCACACTTCTGAATCCACAGATTTCTGTTCAACCCCTTTTTTTGAGAAGGCAAACGGATGAGGAATCAGGGATAAGATCGAGGAACTGCATAAAAGGCAAAGACTGAGCATAAACTCTAAGTCCTGTAGTCGTCTTCAGAAAGCACAACAAAGGATTAGTTTTGCACTCAACTTCAAAAAATGAAAATTAAATATAATTTGCCTACAAGAAACACATATTAAGAAACAACATAGTAAGCTTTTGGAATGCTTAAAGCTTGGAAAGTTATTTATATCTTCTGCTTCTCAAAAGAAAAGAGGTTTAGCATTATACATCAAGGAAAAATTAGACCCTAAACATATATTAGCTGATGAGGATGGTAGGATTCTGATGGCTGAAATCACACTGAAACTTAGAAAGGTGCTTTTGGCGGCGATTTACGCCCCAAACGACCATCAGGAAATGTTCTACCAAAAGCTACGTGCTTTACCCTCACAATTGGACTACCAGACCGTGTGTGTAATGGGGGACGTTAATGCAACTGTGGACAAGAAAATGGATCATAAGAGTGAGACTAAGGACAGAAACTCCTTCATGGGTCACTGCCTTGTCATGGCGAAGGGCTTGCGTAGCGCAATGAAGCTATGAGCTGTGCCGTGCAGGGCCACCCAAGACGGACCGGTCACAGCAGAGAGCTCTGATAAAACGTGATCCCCTGGAGAAGGAAATGGCAGCCCACTCCAGTACCCTTGCCGTGAAAACCCCTGGGACGGTACCAATAGGCAACAGATATGACGCCGGAAGATGAGCCCCTCAGGTCGGAAGGTGTCCAATGTGCTACTGGGGACGCGCAGAGGGCTAGTACTCGTAGCGCCAGAAAGAAGGAAGCGACTGGGTCAAAGCCGAAGGGACACTCAGTTGCGGATGTATCTGGTGGTGAAAGGAAAGTCCGATGCTGCGAAGAGCTATACTCCACAGGAACCCGGAGTGTAAGATCCATGAATCACGGCAAGCTGGATGTGGTCAAACAAGAGATGACAAGACTGAACACCAAAAAGGGATGTCCTTATCATCATGGGGGAATGGAATGCTAAAGTAGGAAGCCAAAAGATAACCGGAATAACAGGCAAGTTTGGCCTTGGGAATACAAAATGAAGCAGGGCACAGGCTGGTAGAATTCTGTCAAGAGAATACGATGGTCATAGCAAACACTCTTTTCCAACAACCCAAGAGACGACTCTACACACGGACATCACCAGACGGTCAACACAGAAATCAGACTGACTGTGTGCTCTGCAGCCAAAGATGGAGAAGCTCTATGCAGTCAGTAAAAACTAGACCAGGAGCTGACTGTGGCTCAGATCATGAGCTTCTTGTTGCAAAATTTAGGCTTAAATTGAAGAAAGTAGGGAAAAGCACTAGGCCACTCAGGTATGACCTAAATCATATCCCTGATGAATATACAATAGAGGTGACAAATAGATTTAAGGAATTAGATCTGATAGACAGAGTGCCTGAAGAATTGGCTAGAGAAACGGGACTTCGTATAGATTCAAATATTTTTTTAAGTTATCATAAATAGAAAAAATGTGGGGGCTGACCTAGCAGGTCCAATGTTTCTTGATGAATGGTATTGTTTTTAGTTTTTCTTTGTATTAGGGTTATTTTGAATAAAACTTATTATTAAAAAAAGGATTAGTTTTGCAGAAAATAAATTGTTGTTCTCTCAGTATTGTCAAGCACTTGCCTATCCTAAGCAACAACAATCACAGCTCAGCTCAAACACGCACCATGTCAAAAGTAAACAAACCAGTCCGCTGTTGTAAGCAGGTAATTTTCCCCTTTTCCCTTTCTTTTGGCAGACTCAGAACAAAACCACAGTTCTTCTGTCAACACTTCACTGAATACAGAACAGTCTAAATCATGATAGCCTCTGTTTGAGATGGGGCAGAAGCATCTGCCCATGTGAAGAGCTGAACTCAAATGGGAACTTCCCTGCCATCCCACAGAGTTTTTGGATCCAGCCTCAGGTGGCTTCTGCTGCTCACGGCTTGATGGCAGGAATGCCAGACGCTTTGTATTCGGGATGCTCTGTAACCTGGCTGCCTGCTTTTCTTGTCATTTGGCCCAGTTAAGCAGTTCCCCTTGAATTCCCCCTTCCATGCCAGTTTGCTACAGCCTTCCTCCCTTTCTGAGGCGGGCTGGTCCTCATACTCTGCCTGAGAAACTTCCTTAGGTAACCTTGAACCTGCCAAGTCTTCTGTCTCCAATTCTCCTTCAACCCCCTCACCAGAATCGAACAAATATATGTGAGAAGACTGCAACGAGCAAGAAACAGTCCCCTTCTTTACCCGTACCAATGGCAGCACATGCAGTGAGCTTCTGCCACCTCTCCCTTAAGTACTACCTGTTCATATGCTCCTCCCAATCATCAGGTGGAGGAGGCGTATCTGTATCCGTGCGGGCAAAGATGACATGGCGCTCACACTCATTCATCACCGTGCGGGCTTTCTGGTTGTCATATAGTGGTACAGGTGTGGGTGTCACTGTTTCTACATCAATGGGAACATCCGCCTCACTGAAAGCAGAGATTGCAATTTCAAGGAACAGAACATTTTTCCTTCACCCCCGTAAATAACTTCTGACCCCACTCCATTTTTTATGTATTCAAAATACCAAATTAAACAGCAGAGGGGACTCTGAAGAATCTAACAGATCAGAAATTATGCTTCAGAGAAAGGAACAACATAATGCAATCATAGATACATGCATATTTGTTCCTTTGATTTATGCCCCTTTCTGTCCAGCAACTGCACTTTGATAATTTTCCTATAGTAGAAAATGAGGCCATCTCACATGGTGCTGTGTTCTTGATGTCTTTTAGGAGTGACAAAGAGCAGGCGAGTGGGGCGGGCATTGCTGGCATCAGGGTGGGCACTCCATGGTTTGGCATAGCTGTGGTCCAGAAAGACCAGGTCTAGCTCCCTCTCATGAACAGACAGCTGGAAAAGCAGCGACGTCCCCATCCTTCGTGCTGAGGTCTGGAAGTCCCGCTCGTTGCCTCGGTAAGTCATGTCTCAATCACTCACTTTTACTTCTAACACCGCACAACTCTTCCACCTTCACATTCTTGCTTGTTTGTGGAAAGAAAGAGAAAAACAAGTGAACAGCATGAAAAGATCCATTTCTGAACCATGTTTGCTGCGCCCATGCACGCTCCCCCACCAGTTGAAACAGCACTGTGGAAGCCCCATTAGCAAACTTGCCAGCAGCACGGGGCCAACACCCAACTACATTTATGGCTTTTCCACAGATAATCCAGAAGCCAGACTAAGTCCCAACGTAACAAACTATTCAGCTCTGTTGCCACCTTCTCCTCCTTAGTCCGACGGTTTGTCTGTCTGTCTGTCTTTCTTTATAAAATGTGTTTGCCATCCAATTACTTACATCTCTGGACGGCTAACAACATAGGTAATTTGACAACCCACTCTGGCTGCAAGTTAATAAAATGCAGCAATAAAAATCAATATTAAAATATTGATTGAAAAGGTCTTAACCTGGCACCGAAAAACATATAATGACGGCACCAGGCGGACCTCTCTGGGGAGTGCCTTCCATAGTCGGGGCGCCACCGCAGAGAAGGCCCTCCTCCGGGTGCTCTGCCTCCTAATGTCTTTCACAGAGGGTTCCCGGAGGAGGGCTTCTGTTGCCGATCTCAAGGGGTGGGAGGGCAAATAGGAAAAAAGGCGTTCCTTTAGGTATCCTGGTCCCAAGCTGTTTAGGGCTTTATAGGTAATAACCAGCACCTTGAATTGAGCCCGGACTTCGATGGGAAGCCAATGAAGCTGATAGAGGACGGGGGTTATATGAGAATAACGCCCAGTCCCTGACAGCATCCTGGCAGCTCTGTTTTGCACCATCTGAAGTATCTGGACTGTCTTCAAGGGCAGCCCCACGTAAAGCACATTACAGAAATCCAACCAGGAAGTAACCAATGCGTGTGTTGCTGTTGCTAGGCAATCCTCCTCCAGGTAGGGAAGAAGCTGATGGATTAGCCGAAGCTGGAGGAAAGTACTCCTCGCCACCACCGTCACTTGGGCTTCCAAAGACAGCTCCGGGCCAAGGAGCACTCCCAAGCTGCGGACCCTGTCTTTTAGAGGGAGTGCAACCCCGTCCAGGGTAGGGCCCAAGTCACCTACCCAGAAGCTCAAATCACCCACCAAAAGAACCTCCGTCTTATCTGAATTGAGCTTCAGTTTTTTGGCCTTCATCCAGCCCATATCCTCGGCCAGGCACCGGTTCAGCACAGCCACTGCCTCACCTGGAGCAGATGTAAATGAGATGTAGAGCTGGGTGTCGTCAGTCTACTGATGACTCCGCAGCCCAAACCTCCTGATGACCTCTCCCAGCGGTTTCATGCAGATGTTAAATAGCAAGGGGGACAGAATGGAACCCTGCAGCACTCCTTGGCAGAGTTGCCGTGGCGCAGAGCCAAAGTCCCCCAGCACCACCTTCTGGATTCGGCCAACAAGGTAGGAGCAGAACCACTGCCAAGCAGTGCCTCCTACTCCCAATCCCACCAGCCTATCCAGGAGGATACCATGGTCGATGGTATCGAAAGCTGCCGAGAGGTCCAGGAGAACCAACAGGGACTGTTTCTCTCCCTGCACAAGTCATCGTACAGGGCAACCAAGGCAGATTCTGTACCATTCCTGGGTCTGGAGCTGGACTGAAATGGGTCCAGATAATCAGTTTCATCCAAGAGTGCTTGGAGTTGTCCCGCCACCACCCGTTCCAACACCTTGCCCAAAAACGGGATGTTGGCCACCGGTCTATAATTGGCGGCCATCTCTGGATCCAGGGATGCCTTCTTTAGGACAGGCCTGATTACCGCCTCCTTTAAAGGAGCGGGCACCCAGCCGTTCCTCAGAGAGGCGTTAATAACCTCCAGGACCCAGGCACCAATCCCGTGTTTGGCTTTAGTCAGCAACCAGGAAGGGCAAGGGTCGAGTAAACAGGTGGTAGGATGACTTGCCATACATTGATTCCCTGCCATCGCATCCCATCTCTCTGACTCTAACCCTAACCCAAATCAAAGGGCAGCTTCCAACAATACATGGTTAACGTCTAGTTTTCAGGGCCAAGTGGGGCACAAATCCAGGACAGAAAAGATTTGTAACCGGTGAGTAAAACTGCACATGAGACGCAAAGGGCAGATCACTGCAATGTCACACATCACGGCCAGGGGAGAAGGAACAGGCTGCCCATCCGCTTACTCCCCGAAGAATCTCGGCCCTTTTCGATGCCCCAGCGGGGCCAAAGCCGCCGGCGCTCGCTTCGAGCGTCTGACCAGGAACGGCTGCCAGCGCGGTGCAGCAGGGCAGAGCAGGGACTGCGCGGACCGCTCCGGTTCTCCAGCCCGAAGGGTCTGCGCGCGCAGGGCGCGATCGCGGACACACGCACGACCCCGAAGGGGTCGGAAATGCCCCGCCACTGCGGCGCCTCGGGTCACGGGCGGCTGCCCTCCGCTGGCAAGCGAGCTGCGCCTACCTGCTCCGGCGCTCGCGGCGGCCTGCCAGGTAAGGCGCCCGGAGCCCCGCGGGAACAGGCGGGCCTCCAAGCGCCCCGGGCATGAGCAAAGGGTCCGGTCTCGCGGGCGGGAAGCCTTCGAAGCCGGCAACCGGAGGAACCGCCGCGCCCCCGCCGGGAAGGAAGGAAAGACGACGAGCAGCCGCAGCGGGCTGCGTCCCCGCCCCGGAACTTCTCGGCGCCAGGTGCGTCCGCGGCCCCCGCGCATGCGCGCCCCTCGCCTCCCACGCGATGCGGACCCCGGATTGGTCGTCGCGCCTCGCGCGGCTGGGGAGGATCTTCCCCACGCGCGCCCTTCCGCCCGCGCGCGCCGATGACGTCACGGGCGCCGCTTTACGTGCCCCGCGCGCGCGGAGGCGGAAGTGGCGCGGCCGGCCGAGATGCGGCGCTTCTCCGCAGCCATGGGCAAGGCCAAGACCGCCGTCCCGGACAGGTGAGCGGCTGGGCCGCGCGGGGCTCGAGCCGAGCCGAGCCGCAGCGCCGCCAGCCCGGCCCTGGCCGGGGCGGCCGCCGCCGGCGCTCGGAGCTCGGACTTTGGGGCGGCAGCCCTCGCGAGGGGAGGGGAGGAGGGGAGGAAGATGTAAGAGCCGCGTTACCTCCGTGTTGTGTGTTCACGGGAGCCCGCCCCGCCCCGCCGGAATGGACAGACGGCGTCTTGGGATGTTGGAAAAGAGGCACGCGGCTTCATCGCAGCTACGTGGCCTGTCCCCCTTTTCAGAGGCAAGATTAGAAAAGAAGGGAGAGGCGCAGTAGGGCAAAACACTTCCGGGAAAAAGTGCAAGAGAAGAAATTATCCATGGCAAAAAGGCTATCACAGTGTAAGCACTAAGAATGCTTTCGGCAGTCAGGGGGTCCTGCATTTGGATGGGAATTGGTGGGGCTTGAGGAAATCGGCAAGGGCATAAACATCCCATTAGATTCCACCCTTAGAAGCACTGTTCTTATGTATCCTCAAATCATGCGTCCTTCTTTGCTGTTCCTTCGTGGTCATGCTTATACAAGAGCAATAAATGATGCCTTCCCCCCCACCCCCAGATGGACAGATTACCTACCCCTTGGGAAAAGAATACCCGGAACTCGCTTTATTGCTTTTAAAGTGCCTCTTAAGAAGGTTGGTAAGCCCCGTGAAAATCATGTTTTCTTATATTGATAGAACGTTGGGGAAAAGCTGGGTACCAGTGATGTAAAATGTCTAGTTGTTATTGTTAGTGAAGAAGTTGTTACTGTTAGCAAAGAGACAAACTATTCATGTTGTAACAGCTTTAGACTTACATGAATCTCAGACAGTAAGCATAATGCTAGTTTTGTATGGCATGTGGGGTGGAACAAAGATTGAGAGAGTCATCTGTATATGAAAGGCTATTTGGGAGAAAAGTGTCATTAGATCTTGATGGGGCTATAGGTATTTAGCCAGGATTATCCCAAGATCTAAAACACCAAGTTAGGAATTTATGAAGCCGTCTTGTAAATAGTTATTTAATTCTTTTAATACACCTTAGCTGAAGTTTCCTGGATGCATTTTTAAAATTTCATAAAAGCCATACACTAAAATCCCATAAAACTCATTCCAAAATGCCAAGAAAGAAAGAAAACAGTTAAAATATCCGTCTTAGATAGGCACCTTGGCATGGTAAAGGTATTTAAGAGTTTCAGAGATGCCAGGAAATCAGACTCAGCAAAAAATTCTATAATGTTGCTTACAGAATTTTTTTAGCATAGAAAAAGATCCAGTAGGTTACAGAACACACTCAAGTAGGATTACACAAATGTAGTAGGGCTCTTCTTGGGTAACTAGCATAGTTTAATTATCTTTCAGAAATTTGAATGGAGGCTTGCCCCAAATGAACGCTTTTCTCCATCAGACCTTCTTGATCAAGTTAGAGAGCAGAAAGAAGAACTTGGCTTAATAATCGACCTAACATACACTACCCGCTATTATGAGCCTGAGGTAACGTCATGTCATCGGACTTTCCTTAAAGGGGTAGATGTTCTTTATGTTTCCACTTGGCAGTGTTCTTAATATGGAATTAGCATCTTGTCCTTTCTGCACTGATGATGATTTGTGCATCGATCGGGGTGTTCAAGGGAGCTCTGAGGAAACGCGTTCAGTTTTTCTGTATGCAGTAGTGGTGAATAGGCTACATGACAGCATGACCCCACAGCCATTGAGGGGAGATTTCTTCCACTGTGCATGTCTTTGGACTTTGGTTCAGTTACCTATCCTTACTGCATGACTGCTAGCTGAAAAGGAGGGTGAGATGAAGATGAGGGTTCCATGCATGGCTGTAAAGGGCAAGTTAGTCTTAGCTATTTTTTCAGGAGGCAGTTGTGGGCATAGCTGGATGCCCTATGTTGCTAAGCCAGTTGTCAGTGGAGCCACTGGAGTATCTCATGATCCAGCTGCTGCCTGCAGGAGCTGGCTTTGGGCTGGTGGGCTGGGCTGGACACGGGATAAAGAGAGAGTGCGTCTCCCCTCTAGACATCGTTGTGGACTCTGGCGGCTGGGCTTGAGTCCTCACTCAGACTAGGCTGGAGATGCCACTGAGGTGGCAGGATGTCTGCATGGAAAGGGATGCAAGTAATCCAGGAGATGCAGGCAGCAAATACCACAACTGGCTTTTGATTTCCTCTGGACTGAAACGTGAGAAGAGTTGAGTAGCCTCATCTGATACCGTTTGTGTTCTGCACGTTTTGCAGGAGCTACCAGACACAGTGCAATACTGCAAGATTTTAACAGTGGGACATGAAGTGCCAGATAATGACACAATATTCAGATTCAAAAGTGCCGTGAAGAAATTCCTTACAGAAAACGAACATAACGGTGAGCAAAATCTGATGACTCAGAATCAGACTTTTTAAAGGTAGCAGAGCAGTTATTCATGTAGTCCTTAATGACACATTCCATACTTCATGGGTTCTTGCTTCATAATATTTTTCTGCAGTGCTTTGATTGGTTGTCTGTCTGTACAATGCCATCCATGTACATGATGGAAGCACATAGGCTCCCTTCCCACGTCTGTCATCTAGCATAAGGATGGGCAAGGACACTCACAAATCTTTGTCAGCATGGGATTGAAATAACAAGCATTTGGGAAATCTGCTTTCTGCCTGCTATGAGCCGAGCCCTTATAAAAACGGCTTAAACTTACTATTTTCCTAGATAAACTTATTGGAGTTCACTGCACACATGGCTTGAACAGAACTGGTTACCTTGTTTGCAGGTAAGTTGACTTGAGGACACTCCTCATCAGTCTGGCTTGATAAGGTTAAATGAACAATTGCCACATGTGGTATTTGCCACATGTTTCCTCTGATGTGGGTAAAGTCAGCAACCCATCCCCAGGGGAAAGGTCTCTGGCTCTGTATGTACAGTGGTACCTTGGCTCACGAACGAAATCTGTTCCAGGATTCTGGTCGAGACCCAAATTGGTTGTGAGCCAAGTTAAAATTCCCCATAAGGTTCAATGTAAATAAGGTTAATCCGTTCTGTAGCTATTTTTTTAATCAGAAAAATGTGAAGCAAAGTGACAAAGAGTAACAAAGATTGCGGCCATCTTCCCCCCCCCCACCTCGAGCATGAGCGCGACCATCTCCCTGCCCCCCCACACACAACCATGATCGTGCCCATCATCCTTGCACACATCCAAGACAGGAGCAAATGGGGTGCGCTGGGGTAGGGAGAATGGGCGCAAACAGGGCGCGCTGGGGGAGGAAGAGGCAGGCACGATCATGCGGCGGGGGGGAGATGGCCAAGATCGCAGTTGCGCTCCTGCAGGAAAGACGGGCGTGATCTCGGCCATCTCCCCACCCGCAGCATGATCCCGGCCATCTCCCCACTCGGGGGGGGGGGGGGGGGAGATGGCCGCGTTCGCGGTCACCACCCAATGTGGAGTTTGCAACCTGAGTGAAAATTTTTATGAATTTTTTGTCCGTGACCTGATTTGGTTGTGAACTGAGGCATTTGTGAGCTGAGGTACCACTGTATTCTGTGAAAATGGATTTCCTGCAGGCATGAGTTCATTGGTTTTCACTGAGTGGCTTGTGATCTAAGACTGAAGTGCAGCTCGGTGGCAAATACACTCTACCCACATTTCAGGCATGTTTTCTCACGAATATTCAGTGTGACTCTACCATCGTTAAGTAAAAATCCTGTGTGCGCTTCCTGAATCCTATAATGCCAAATAAGCAGGCCTAGATTAGGAGAAGTGTTGAGGAGTTAGAACGTCGGCTTTACCATAAGGGTCGTAAGTGCAGAGTAGTAATCCAGGGATATTAGTTTTCTGAGTATTTTCAGGCAATGCATCCTACTTTCTACAAATATTCTAGTGCTGTCTGGTGTTTTGTGGTAGTTCTTTCTATAGCAAAATGTGTTTCTATTGTGGAAGGTACCTCATCGATGTCGAAGGAATGGATCCAAACACGGCAATAGAACGTAAGTGGTGCGCCTTTATTTGCAAAGTTAGAGCATTCACTGCTTTTTCAAAAAACTTCCTATGACTATGAAGGTGGAAGCTGCCCTATTTAGATACTGCCAGAAGAACACAGAGAATCTGCACCAGACTGAACTCCTTCTGAGAGTTCCACGCGTCTTTCCGCCTGTTTTCTTTTTCAAAGAAAGCCAGCACATGCCCAGAATGAACAAGGCTTGGCAATGGAGTGCGAGAGTGGAGCAGGCCTTGTCTCATGCCCCCCTTATGCCAGCTGTGGGCACACGTGCTCTTTCCCAGTGTACCCCACAGGAAGACTCTGATCTGTTTTATCCAGGGCCCCGGCTAGGGCCATTGTGTGTCCACATCATTTTAAGTAAATCTAGAATGCACCCAAACAAACCCAGCATTGCCTTGTATCTGCCCATAGCAAGAGAAAATGGCCTGCCTAAAATTTATCTGAAGCATTTTCATCCTGTTTCTGGGCCAGAAAGCCTTCCAGAGCAGCTTACAAATAATATACTACTCCTGCCTGCGGGCTTACAAGCTAAAAAGCTAAAAAGACATGGTGAACAAGGGAAGGGAATGGAGCAGGAAGAGGGGTGGAAAATTGAGCCTTTCAGCTGGGCCAGCAGAGTGGCCCTGGCTTCCACTAGCCTTCTTCCAGGTAGCATGTGGGTGGGGAAACAGAGCGAGCCAGAAGGGGTCTCCCGGACCATCTAGTCTGACCCCCAGCTCCAGCTGGCTCCGCTCATGACATGCCCGCCATGTGCATGTATAGCCCATCTTTGAACACCCACACCTACAGGGCCCCAACAACCCCTCGTGGAAGCCCATTCCACACCCTCGGGGCCCTGACTGTCAGGAAGTGCTTCGTGGCATCCAAATGGAACCTTGGCTCCCTGAGCTTTGCTCCTTTGGAGCGCATCCTGCCTTCCTCCGCAGGGGAGAACAGGTCTCTGCCCACCTCCGTGCGACATTCCCTCACGTACCTGCATGTCACCAACAGATCCCCTCCGAGTCTCCTCTTCTCCAGGCTGAAGAGACCCAGTTCCCTCAGTCTCGCCTCGTACGGCATCCCCTGCAATCCGGCCACCAACCTTGTGGCCCTACGCTACACTGACTCTAACCTGGCTATATCCTTTCTGTAATGAGGGGCCCAAAACTGAAAACAATACTTCAGTTGCAGGCACACCAGAGTCGTACAGAGTGGTAGTAATACCTCTCTCGATTTAGAAGCCACGCTTCTGGCTATGCAACCAAGGGTGGTGTTGGCCCTCTTGACCACCGCATCACACGGCTGACTCATGTTCAGCCTGCAGTCAACCAGCACCCCGAGGTCCCTTTCACAAGTGCTGCTCTCCAGCCACTTGTCCCCTAACCTGTGCTTATGACACCGATTCCTATGCCCCAAGGGCAAGACCTTGCACTTATCCACATTGAACGCCATCCTGTTGTCTCCTGCCCACTTCCATAGTCTGTCCAGATCCTTTTGGATCTGGAGTACCTGCTCCTCGGTTGTGGCCACTGCCCCAGTTTTAGTGTCGTCTGTGAATTTGATCAGCGGACTGTTCACCCCTTCTTCCATGTCATTGATGAAAAGATTAAACAGGATCGGCCCCAGGACAGAGCCCTGGGGGACCCCCGCTTGTCACTGGCCACCATCCTGATGTTTCCCCACTAATGGTTACCCTCTGCTTTCGGTCAGTCAACCATACCCTAATCCATCGGACAGGGCATTGGTCTATCCCAAAACTCCTCAGTTTCTCCACCAGGATATCATGGGGCACTTTGTCAAAGGCCTTGCTGAAATCCAGGTATACCACATCCACTGCATCCCCTCCATCCAGCCATCTCAAAACCTTGTCATAGAATTCCACAAGGTTTGTCTGGCAGGACCTGTTTTTGCGGAAGCCGTGTTGTGTGGCTGTCAGCCTCCCTTCCCTATCTAGCATCACTAGATCTCTCTCTCTATTATGAACCTTTCCATTGTTTTTCCTACAATGGATGTAAGGCTAACTGGTCTGTAATTCCCCATGTCCCTTCTACTACCCTTTTTGAAAACTGGGACTACTGACATCACCCTCCAGTCCTCTGAAACTTCACCCGTTCTCCACGAGGCCTTAAAAATGGAGGCCAGCGGGCGTGAGAGAACCCTGCCAACTCTCTAAGTACTCTCGAGTGTAACCCGTCAGGGCCTGGCGCCTTTGTAATGTCCAATGCCCTGAGGAGCCCCTCAACTTCAAGGGGGGGTGACTCTAATCAGTGCCCCTAAGTCCCCAGCCTCATCTAATCTCCTATGCGGATCTCCCCCGTCCTACTTTGGGGAGAACACAGAGGCAAAATAGTCATTTAGCATTTGTGCCTGTTCCCTCATATCAGTCACTGGATCTCCTTCCTGCTTATTAGTGGTCCCACCACTTGTCTCCCCTTACTCTTCCTATTTACATGCTGAAAGAAGCCCTTTTTATTGCTCTTGATATTCTTGGCAAGTCTCAGCTCGTAATCAGCCTTAGCCTTGTGAAGAATCCTTCTGCAACGGGCCTCCTCCTCCCGGTATACCCTTTTGTCTATTTCCACCAGTACCCATTTCCTACGGAGGTTCCTCTTTCCTCTAATCCCTCTAACCACCTCCTTTTGCATCCATGGCGGCACTCTCCTCCGCCTTCCCACCTTACTGACTAGAGGTAGCGTCAAGGCTTGTGCCTCCAAAACCTCCCTTTTGAGTGCTCTCCACCCCTCCTCAACTTGCTTACCTTCCAGTAACCTATCCCAGGAGACTTTCCCCAGTCTGGCCTTCAGTTGGCCAAAGTTGGCCCTCTTGAAGTCCCAGCTTCTTGTGCTTGACCTGCTGCCCGTCCGCAGTCCCGATCTCAAAGCAAAGGATGGAGTGATAACTCGCATCCAGAGCTCCCCTAATTTGTGCTTCATCTATCAGCTCCTCCCTATTGGTCAAGACCAAGTCAAGGATGTTTCCCCCCCTCGTCGCCTCTCGGACCCTCTGTGTGAAAAACCCTCCCTCCATAGCTTCTGGGAAGCGACGTGACCTGGCTGTCACCGCCGAGTGAGTCTCCCAAGTAATATCCGGGAGACTGAAATCTCCCATAATTACTGTGTCTCTCGGGGGAGAGACACAG